GACCTAGAATGTTGATTATTGCTGCGGTTAGAACTGTCGTGAAGGGTTAAATGTCCAGAAGAAGGGAAAAGTGTAAACACAGTAAAGAGAAGAATGCACAAAGGGAAGAAGGAAATAGAGACGAAGGTTAAAAAAAGGCAAATAAAACAAGAAATCCCGCAAGAGTAGGGAATGCAAAAAAGAGAGGGAAAGAGGTATTTTGAGGTGGGCGGAAAGTATGTAAAAGCCATATTTATGCATCGGCATTATGGCAAAAAGGTGGACATAAGAAGTAAAGTGATATCATCCATATCTCCACTTAGAAGACTGAATATGCCAAGTTGATTGTGACAATACCAGGCAGATGCAAATTCATTAGCCCAAGATGGTCCAAAGGACTGGAGAATGGATATGTATCAAAATCATAATATGAAAGAAAAATGGCATCATCAAAGATTCCAAGAAGATGCTTCTTAACGGTATGCTGTCGGAAGGTAAAGAAAGCACTTTGTGTGTATCTGGTGTTTCAAGTCTTGTCGATAATGCTGTCCTTGTCGCGGTAAGAATTTATTTCTTTAAAATCAGAGCCGTAAAATCGTGAGTCGTGGCATCGTATCTTGCTGGTGTTACAGGGTTGAGAAATGAAAACATTGCGCAGTCATGACATTGAATCTCCACGCAACGAAGTATTGATACAATTTGGCTTTCCTCCGAGTTAAAACATGTTGAAGCCATGAGGGTTCGAGCCATTGACGCCATTAATGCCGTTCATGTTATTGATACCATTGATGGCGTTGTTGGTGTGCTGGGGAACAGGGCTGAAAATGGTGGTAGCCCCACTCTCGCTGTGAGTAGAGCGAGCTTCAATAAATTCAGGCTCGGAGACGGCTGCGGATGGAGCGTTGGCAGAGGCCTCAGTGGAGTTGAACTGTGAGTTGTATTGATTGGGAGGAAGAGTATAAGGCTGCGAGAAGCCGCCTCGTACCTCATCAAGAGCCAAGGGAGCTCCTGGGTTCGTTCCGTTTGTGCCATTGTTTCGAGCATGGGAGTCAAGTGTCATGATCTTTCCTGCAATTCGACGTCCATGTGGCTGCGAGCGGATTCCAGGCAGCAAGGGGCGGACAGCTTCAATCAGGGTATTGCGAGACTCGGGATCAGCAAAGTCCATAGCTGTCTGGATAACATAGTTTGCAAAGGAGTCACGGAGCATGTTTGGAAGCTCATGAGGAGACAACATCTCCTTAATAAAAGCTCTACGCATATTGAAGTCTGAAGTACGGATGCACTTCTCAATGACGTTGGAGCTGAACTTTTGCTTTGACAGAGCGGGGATGCTTCCCTGGAAAGTTGCACAAAGTGGTCCAGTGAAAAGGGGCTCTCCAAGATCCACTGTATCAAAGTTAGAATGATGAAGCATGACAGGGTACGGGAGTCAACATACAGATGTACTGGATGACGTAGTTGCCGAACGGGTCCTGAACGAGAGAGTAAGAGCTCTTGGTAATCTGCTCAATCAACTTTGCGCGCTGATCGCCAGAAGCATGGTCAATGCATCTCTGAAGAACACAGCAACCATGGCGGTGAGTTCCAACAGCAACACACTCTTTGCCAACTGCATCATAAATAAACTGCATGAAATAAGTAAATACTCAAGAGAATGTTCTTGGAAAGGAAAAGTAAGTACCTGAGCATCGGGAGCTGATAGGCGGTTCAAACATTTCTGGATCACATGGTTGCCATTGAGGTCTTGGACAAGCTCGACGACTTGGCCACTAAGGGCATGGATAACAGTTTGGATCTAAAGATTATTAGTAATCAACTATGACATGTCAATAAGGTGTCGTACCTGTTCAGGGGTAGAAATAAACTCAATCATCTTTTGGAGAGCTCGAGTTCCATGCTGGTTCAAAGCGATCTGGACCAAATGAGGGGCAGCAATGTTGATAAGACCTGTACGTTGCTCATCGTTCGTGAATTCAAGCAGTTTTTGACATAGGTAGTTACCAAATGGATCTGGACTCGATAGTTAGAATAATCAAACCATGGAAGCGAGATGAACAAGGTGGCGAGTGCATCATACCGGTCATGAGCTCGACGACGTGCATTTGAGTTTCACGGAAGATTATTTGAACATGCTCAGGCACACCCTCTTCGAGCTTTCTCTGAAGGTACCGACATCCATGCTGGTCCTTACACATTCCATAGATTTCCCCAGAGTAATTCTCGAGAGGAACATTGCCAAAGCGGTTCAATGGGTTCTCAGAATCTCCATTACGACGGTTTTGAGTAGCAGTACGAGGGTTCTCTGCAAATCTACCGTAGTTGTTCGGCTGAGGTGGCTGTGGCGCCATTCCAAATGCTCCGAACATCGGATGGCTCTGGACGCCAGCGTAGTTCCCATTGAGCTGCAATGGCGCTGGGGCATATGCTTGCATGCTATATCCATAAACTGGTGTTGCATAGGTGCTTGGTGTAGGGGTAGCAGACCCGTTAACGACCGATGGAGCAACGGTGGTTGGAGATGTCAAGACCAGGGCGTGGGACATGGCATTGGGTTGGAAAGCAGACTGGAAAGTCGGAATGCTAGGGCCAGGTTCCTCACGGTCAGAAGAAGACTGAGGGGTGGGTGGAGTGGTGTTTGCGGAGCCACCACGAGAGTGCATCCGGCTATGGGTTTGGTAGTTGTTCTGGGTAACTTCGGCCCGAGTTCCGGTGGTAGAATCGCTTTGGTATCCATTGTGAGTGGCAGGAAGATCATTTGTTGAGTAGGAGAGCTGTAAGGAGGTTGGCCTATGGTGTCCAGAGGTATGGTTTTGCTGGTGGGCAGCAGAAGCAAGACCACCGAGGCCAGAAAGGTTGCTCTCTAAAGAAAGACGGTTTACATGACGCAGGGACTGGATATTCGCATTGCCATTTCCATTGGTTTGTGGGGGGTTTTCAGCTGAGTTATCAGACCACCAGGACAAAGTGTTTTGCGGCATGCTGTGGTGAACGGCATGATGACGACCATTACCATTATAGTTCTCAGGGACAGGAGTGCGGGAGTTTGCAAAATCAACCGCTGCAGAATTGGCTGAGAGCTATTTAAGGTTAAAAGAAGAGAGTGGGTCAGCAGTAGCTCAGTAAAACTACAAAGGATGAGAAGAAAGAACTTACAACTGATGGGTTATCATCCCTACGCACTAAGGTAGGGAATTTGTCATCAGGGTCTGTCATGCGAAGGTAGCTCTTTACATCTGGAGTAGAAACACGGTCTTCGTTCTTGGATTTATCCTCTTCAGACTCCAAGGGATTTTTAGAAGAGAAAAGTGAACTGAAACCCATATGGTTATTGAATCCGTTGGTACGAGAGGAGACTGGTGGCAAGGCTGACCCGAAGACGTTGTTTGATAAGGAGTAGCGGCTTCTGTAGATCCGGTAAAGGATAATCATAAGCAAGTGGAAGTTGGAAGTCAGTAAGAGAAACTCACGCATGACCAGCTCTAAAGCCTGTGAAAGCAGCTCCGTAAGTCTGCTCCGAGTTTCGACGCAGACCCATCCCCATGCCAGTACGGTTGGCAAAGTCCTGGTTGGAAGACTGGTTGGTAGTTGGAGATGTCACTTGGGAGGTAGGAGAGAAAACACTTCCAAATGGTGACATGGGTTGTCCATTTGAAATAGAAAACCGAGCTGGACGAGATAGAGCAGTAGGAAAACCGCTGTCTCGATAGTATTCTGGAGGAGTGGTAGGCTCGCTAACGGGGCCACTGAGACCGACCTGAGCAAGGTCTCTGGCAATCTGGTCCATCTCCTGACGTTCCTTTTCCTGCTGGAGGTCAAGGATTTTTAGGTCTGCTTCAAATCGGCGCTTTTGTTCCCGCATATATTCAATATGCTGTCGTTTCTTCTCAAACTAGAAAGTTTGTTAGAAGGAGTACGGCAAGGCAGAAGCGTTATGGAAAGCGGTGATCCTCTTAACAAGGAGAAAAGGAGGGCAAGCAGGTTAAAGGAGAGAGAAAGGTAGGACAACGGTAAGAGAAAAGGGAGGAAAGGAAAGGAGAAATCGAGAGCGGGAGTTAGGAGGGGAAAAGGGAGAGGGAGGGGAATTTAAGGCGAGGCAAGATGTGGGTAGGAGGACAGAAAGTGAGGAGGGTTTTCTGCTCACAAGCTGGGATTTATGGAGGTGGGTGGCCTATTCAAGCAACAATTAGTCTACTGGTCTCCTAGTGAATTGGCCAAAAAAAAAAATGACAATATCAAAGTGAGGACAGCCTGATATTCAGCTTCACTTTTGACTTGACATCTCGATCACGCCATCCGAGGGACAGGACAAAGCGCGTATTCAAACTCACCGACGACAATATATCCAGCTGCTCGGTCTGCTTCAATGGTTGCTGATTGAAACCATTCCACTGCGGCAGCACGGCCGACTCGGTGGTAAAACGACGCTGCATGGTCGAACGGACCTCGCTGGTTGACGGCTGCGCGTTGATACTGTGCACGAAGCCTTTCTGGCTTCCCTGGGGCGATGGGAACGCAGAGAAGGGCGATTCTGACGGAGGAGACTGAGGAGAAGGGCCAACGAAGTCGTCGAGTTTCCCACTGAAGCTGTTTCTAAAGGCCATATTCCCGGGCATCTGCTCTCGAAAAGCCGCGAACATGGTCAGACATGACGCAAAAACAAAAAAACAAAAAAAGGAACGTATATACACGCAGACGAGGAAAAACAAATCAACACGTTATTATACGCAAGACATATATATATCAAACATCAGTGCTGGGGAGCGGGACGTCGTCGAGATGGAGACGCCCGGAGGTTTTCTGGCGCCTGAAATAGATTTCAGGGGAGGTTCGAAAGCGGTGAGCTTCTTCCCGCGTCACGGCAAAAAAAAAAAAGCCAAACGAGGATGAAAGTTGGGAACAACGCCCGGGAAGTCAACCGCAGGCCAGCACAGAGACGCCGGATGGCGAAAAGGGCGAAGGCAAAAAGACAAGAGGAAGAGGCGAAATCGGGGACGAACTTACGGCTGCAGAGATCCTTATTATTCGGTTAACAGGGAGGGAATGCTGAAATAACTGAAGGACTTGGGCTGGAGTTCGGAGGCGGCAGATCCCGTTGAGCCAGCGCCCTGGCTGGTTGATTCAACCGCTCTGCCGCTGTCAAACCAGAAATCAAGGCTCGGATCAGCCTTTTCCTTCTTCTGTTGGCTTACACAGTGCCGGTGCTGGATTTACGGTCTCCCTCTTGGGCTTCTTTTGGCGGGGTAGACGGTGCTGGTATGAGACAGCGCTGGGGCGGGTCAATTGGCGAGAGGGTCGTTCCAAGGGTGGATGGTGTCTGGCGAAAAATAAGGAGTGAGCAAGGGCGTCTCAGAGATCCGCTTTAAGGAGTCATAAGGCTGAACAGGCGGGAGAAACTGCCCAGAGGGGCTAATATACATACGGTTTTATCTCTCCAGGCCAGAACGGTGAGAGAGCATGGAAAGAGACAGAGCCGGTCGTCGAACGAAGCGAAATCGAGCAAGGTTGGTTGTTGTACAGAGCATGGGAGCGCCCCTGTGAGACTTGGGGAGGGCCAGCAGAGCAGGACACGGGAGGGAGAGGGAAGCCCAGGGAGAGAGAACAGAAGAGGAGGAGAGGAGAGAAAAAGGAGAAATCGATGAAAAGGAGGAGGAAGAGGGACCAAATATTATGTGATGGACAGCGGGGATTCAGTTCAATGGCTTGCAGCAGCTCAAGCATCAAACGATGGAAAGGCAACCTGGAAACCCTATGTTGTCTTGTCCCAGATAGACATCGAATAATAGCAACTGCTCTGGACGAATGGCTGGCCTCCTCACTCCCCTGGATACTCAACCACGCCTAAATATTCGCCGATTTCTATTTTCTGATTGGAATACGTCTTGCAGAAACCCTCGAAATTCTAAACAAATAGGGTTGCGTCAGGCAGGGCTACCCGCTGCCTTGGAGGTTCCACTGAGGGGTCACCGCTACTTCGTTCTTCGCCCAACAACTCGCTGTCTTTGGCGCTGCATCCTCGTTCGCGAGCCGGTACCAGTGACCTGACCCGACACCCTCCCGAGAAACGAGCCGCGGGAAGAAAGGGCGGGGATACAGCAGGACCAGTACGGAGGACAGCTGGGCGGACGGTTTGTCTCGAAAGTTGACGGGAAACGTCCATCCCATTTGCTTGTGCTAGGGAACTGACAGCAGAAGGAGGCGTTCAGAGTAAAGCTGCTGTCGGCTAACGAGATTAGTGTTTTGTGCATCTTCGACGACGCATCAGATTGCAAGGTACATGGTGGCATTTCCTAGGTGCATACCTCTCGATATATGCACGACGACGTGGGTGGAGAACCCCCAGCACCCGATATATGGTCCAATCAAAGGAGTCCGGAGTCTCTAACTTCTCAATCACTCACTGACACAAGGCCCAGAACCTGTGCATCCTGCGCAGCGTGCAGCCGTAGGGTCTGTCCGCTGTAAATTTCGCCCTTATCATAACTACGAGAGGCAACCGGGAGCAAACGAACACCCTGTCTGTCTTCTTGCCTCTCTCGCTTTGCCTGTGGAAGAGAGACTCAGGAAGAGAGTCATAAACGCTGATCGAACCTTCGAGTCCAATGAATGCAGACGGGGAACTCTGATCACCGCCGCCCTTGAACCTCTGGCGAAAAAGAAACAAGCATCCCCAAAAAAACACACAGACGAAGTTTCAATCTGACTTCTCGTCATACTCCCCACATCATCAACCAAAAAAAATTCTCGCTCTGGGTCAGTTATCAAATATTACGGTCACGGATACGGAGCACGTAGTCAGGAGGCTGGAAATGCGGAGAAAGGCTTGGTTACTATATCCCTCCCTCTCTCTCTTTCACTCCGTATTTCTTTTCCGTGCCTTGCTTGCCCTCTCGAAGAAATAGGAAAGGAAAGTCGCACGGCCAAAATATGGATTGGCCTGAGGTCTTTGCTTTTTTTCTTTTATCTTTCTTTGAATGGGGTTGTTGGCTCCAGGCACCCTTGACATCTGTCTTCATTCTGGGACGGGGGTCCGTGTCTCATTACCTTGCTGCCTGGGAAATTCTTCAGATATGGGATTTGGGCTATTTTTGTAAAGTGTGCCTCTAAACCTGGCAGTCACATCGAGGATGGCATCCGGTCCGGTCAGCATCCCGACTTCGAATGAGCGGTGGAAATGCCAGCACAAGCATGGAAGCGGCCGCTAAGTTTCGAAGTATGCAAGCTTGCCACGACGCACCATCATAGACCCAGCCGTTTGAGCAAGATAAATGTACTTTTTGCGGTACAACATGCCATGTACCGTGCCGTAGAAGGTTGCCCCCGCCCTTCGTTCCCGCAACTCACAACAGATATTTTGGGGACAAGAAGAGTCCAATCATATCCTTAGGGCTATTCATCTCTTAGCACACATCTACGATTTCGCGGAGTATATGCTGATGTCTCTCTAGGTTCTCTCCCGATCCAACCATGTTGCTTCCCCAGGTTTTAGCGCCAAGTACACAATCAAGGAGCCCTGTCATCAACGTATGCGGCGATTGGCAGCTCACTTTCCAAATGGTCCCATTCTCCCGCGGGATCGTTGGTCGGTGTACGGTGTAACTTGTTGTCAGTGCATTGAGCTTCATTTTAAGCATCCAGCGAGGCACTAGATCTATCCATGGCTGGCAGAAAGTTGGAGTTAGGTCGTCTCTACTACAGCCTTTTTATTAATCATGGTCCTGCTTGATGGGTACGTTTGTTACATTTCTAATCCAACCAAACCACTTCCAGGCTCTTGTATTTCAGGAATGCCCTCTTTACTCCAGCGAGTGTGTATACATCGCTTGCAGAGCATGCACGGGTCCTTCGATCAAGCATATTTGCGGCAATGAGTTGGTCTTTTGCACCCTGACCGGGGATAATGCAGGCTGCTGTACAACCTGGATGAAAGTTGTTGTCAAGCTCCCCACTTTACAGTGTTGATTCTGATAGCCGCATACTATCATTGCCGTCCTCATCCTAATCAAGTCAAGGGTACGAGGCACTTTAGGTATGCACCACCCTACCGGTTAGGTATCGAGTCGGTGAGGCCGCAACGGACGGAAAGCAATGATACCTAACAACCGTATCTGATGCTATGCTCCCTTGACAGCCATTTCCCATTTTGATGCCTTCGCTTAGCAATTCGACTTTGTGGGTTGAAGAAACTCACCTCCAATTTAAGGTTGATCTTCATTTTATAGATAATTGTATCTATTAAATGATTTACCACAACTTCTCTGGGCTTGTATCTAAGCGAGTGGGCTGTGAGAAGGTGAAATTCCTCCATGGCTGATATACCATGATAACAATATGAAATCTGATGGTTGCAATTCCATTATATTATGGTTGCGCAAAAAGGATACTTTTTTTGTCGAAGGTCGGGCAACGTCCGGCTGTGACTTTTTCAATCATGTCCATGTTGTCGAAAGGTTAAGTGTTGGGTTCAAAGGTATTATCACGGGCATCATTGGGCAACTTGTGCGTTGTGCTCCGTAATTTCGCTACTGTTCATCCTGTAGAGAGGGTTGTGTACCTCGTTGCCCATATCACTGGGATCCTATGCAACACAGGACACAAACTAACTGCTGCTTTCAGGTAATATGTGTTTGATTAGCAGTAGGATATCGGATATTTGAATCCTATTCTTCGGTATACCAGTGAATTACATTACCCTCCATTCCAGATTAACTCCTGAACTGTTAGGTGTTATCCGTGGCAATGTCCTCGTCAATATGCGGAGTGCCATCCAGCTATAAAATGGATAAGAAAAGAGCTCAATAGATCCCTGCAGCGATTCAAGCGATCGATCATATCTAGTGGTATACTTGGTGCAATGTGATAAGCTTACTGTCATCGGTCTCGTTCCATGATGTCCTGGCGTCTTCGAAGCGCGGGCACCTGGCAGCGCGGCTCAGCGGCATCCCGGAGAAACAAAAATGCGTGGAGCTTCAAATTCCGCGGGCGGGCCCCTCCAATCAAGCATCATCGAAAAAAAAAGTTATACAGAAATGACACTGGCGGACTGATACAGACTTATTCTCTTCATGATGGCTTGACACAATTATAGCTCTTGCTTTGATTTTCTTTTTCTTTGTTTTCTAATTCATGCGCCCCTAGGATTAATAGCACGGAACCATGCCTCCTCGGAAGAAGACGGTAGGTCCGAGTGTCGGGGGTGCGGCAGGCAATGTATGTGTGATAGTGACTCAATTATTCATATCCGCAAAGTCGCAGCCAGAGTGCTAACCGTCTAATACAGCTTACATCCTCCACAGGCGCTCGGAGACGATCTTCTGGGAATGCTACCGGAAAACCCACAGAAGATCCACACGACACAGAAGCTCAAAAAAGGAGACATGCGCAAAAAAGCAGACGATCTGATGTACGCTTTTGGGTTTCTATTTTACGGTATAAGAAGTTCCGGAGTGTTCTAACAAAGGCGTACAGGACTTTGAGGCCCTCCTCGAACCATTTTACTACGATAAACACTTGACGGACCCAATTAATACCGAAAGAGATAAATGGAACCTATTACCGGCATTTCTCAAAGTGAAAGGTCTCGTCAAGCAGCATATTGACTCTTACAATTACTTCGTTGAAGTCCAACTTAAGAAGATTGTACAGTCCAGCGCAGAGATTCGCAGTGACATTGATCCAAAGTTCTATATCAAGTATGTTGAAGGTGCTTGCAGAAAATTGCGCAAAGGCTGACTTATTTTTTTCAATTTCAATTGCAGATTTCATGACATATATCTTGGAACACCTCGGCGAACCGATGAAGAACAGTCAGGAATAAAGGTCGATTCCACAATAACTCCAAACGAATGTCGACTTCGGGATATGACCTATGCTGCTCCTATCTTGGTTGACTTCGAATATGTCCGTGGCCGTCAACGAGTTAAGCGAAACGGTACTGCGATTGGCCGTATGCCTGTCATGCTCCGAAGTTCTAAGTGTGTGCTATCAAATAAGTCGGCACGGGAAATGTATACATTACATGAATGTCCTCTTGACCCCGGCGGATACTTTATTGTTAACGGGACGGAGAAGGTCATTTTGGTACAAGAGCAGCTGAGCAAAAACAGAGTTATTGTCGAAACAGATCCGAAGAAGGAAATCGTACAGGCTTCAGTGACAAGGTATGCTCAAAAGAAGTTGGTATATATAACTTTACTGGATTGCTTTTACTAATGTACGACATATAGTTCTTCACACGAACGAAAGTCCAAGAGCTATATTATTATGAAAAAGGGACGCATCTACCTCCGACACAACGTTTTGAATGACGATATTCCGATTGTTATTCTATTGAAAGCCATGGGAATACAATCCGATAAGGAAATGTTGCTGTTAGTTGCGGGGGTTGATATGGAATACCAGGAAGACTTTGCCATAAACTTCGAAGAAGCTGTCAAGTTGAGTATATACACCCAGCAACAGGCTCTTGAATACTTGGGTGCGCGTATCAAGATCAATCGGAAAGCTTCAGGCTTTGGGCCTGCACGCCGAAACTATGTTGCAGAAGCTATCGAGGCCATATCTTCTGTTATAATATCCCACGTCCAAGTGCAAGATATGAACTTTCGGCCGAAAGCTCTCTACGTTACTCACATGGCCCGGCGTGTGCTCATGGCAAAACTTGACCCAAGCTTGGTGGATGATCGTGACTATGTTGGCAACAAGCGGTTGGAGTTGGCTGGTCAGCTCCTGGCATTGTTGTTTGAAGATCTTTTCAAAAAATTCTGTTTCGACATCAAAATGAACATAGATAAGGTCTTGAAGAAGCCAGTACGAACTGAAGCCTTCGATGCCTACCCGGTCGTTGCTATTCATGGGAATCATATCACCCAGGGAATGAACCGTGCAATTGCAACCGGTAACTGGAGCCTGAAACGTTTCCGAATGGAGAGAGCCGGTGTCACCCATGTTCTAAGCAGACTGAGTTACATCGCTGCACTCGGCATGATGACCCGAATAAGCAGTCAATTCGAGAAGACACGCAAAGTTTCTGGTCCTCGTGCACTTCAACCCTCGCAGTTTGGTATGCTCTGCACCTCAGATACCCCGGAAGGTGAAGCGTGTGGGCTTGTAAAGAATTTGGCACTCATGACGCATATCACCACAAACGACGAAGAGGAACCTGTCCAGAAACTTGTCTTTACTCTTGGTGCAGAGGATATACAAACTGTTGGAGGCAGAGAATGCTTCGGCCAGGGTGCTTATATTGTGTTCATGAACGGATCCCCGATTGCTTTGACTAGGCGACCGAAATATTTCCTCAATGCCTTCCGGCGTCTACGACGAATGGGCAGGATATCGGAATTCGTCAGTGTGTTCATCAACCATAACCAGAAATGCGTCCATGTTTCCACCGATGATGGTCGTATTTGCCGCCCATTGATCATTGTCGAAAAGAAACGATCTAGGGTTACAGCTCGACATTTAAGTGCTTTACGAAATGGCACGATGGATTTCGACGATTTCCTCTCTAATGGGTTGGTGGAATATGTTGATGTCAACGAAGAGAACGATGCCAATATTGCTGTCTACGAGAGAGAGATAGACGCAAACACAACACACCTAGAAATCGAACCATTTACAGTCCTAGGAGCCGTTGCAGGACTGATACCTTACCCCCATCACAACCAATCTCCTCGAAATACCTATCAGTGTGCTATGGGTAAACAAGCCATAGGCGCGATTGCTAATAACCAATTCCTTCGTATCGATTCTTTGCTCTATGCCATGGTATACCCGCAGAAGCCGATGGTGAAAACTCGAACCATCGAGTTGACAAACTATGACAAGCTCCCAGCAGGACAAAACGCAATGGTTGCTGTGATGAGTTACTCCGGGTATGACATTGAGGATGCTCTCGTGTTGAATAAGGGGTCGGTAGACCGTGGATTTGGGCGCTGTCAGGTCTTCAGAAAGTATTCGGCGAACCTCAAAAGTTATTCGAATGGGACGAAGGATAGACTCGTTGGCCCGACGAGAGAGAACGGAGTATCGATCAGGAAACACGGTCTTCTGGACAATGATGGCCTGGCTGCAGTTGGAGAGAAAGTCAGTCCAGGAGAAGTATATATAAATAAGGAGACACCAGACAATGCGCTTTCATCCGGCATCACTGGCTCTGATGCAGGTTTACCCGTGAAGTATAATCCCACGCCTCAGACCTACAAACTCCCTGATTATAGCTACATCGATAAGGTGATGATATCCACTACCGAAGGCGAGAGCCAGCTTATCAAAGTTCAAACTCGGCAAACCCGACGGCCAGAAGTTGGTGACAAGTTTTCATCTCGCCACGGACAGAAAGGTGTTGTAGGAATCATTGCGGAGCAGGCAGACATGCCATTTACGGACACAGGCTTGGTCCCTGATATCATCATGAATCCTCATGGTTTCCCGTCTCGAATGACTGTGGGCAAGATGTTGGAGCTCGTTGCAGGAAAGGCTGGCATTATTTCTGGCCAGTTTGGCTATGGCACCCCTTTTGGTGGCAGCCCTGTCGAAGAGATGTCTGCTATCCTTGTGGACCACGGGTTCAGCTACGGTGGAAAGGATTACTTGACCTCAGGCATCACCGGGGAGCCCCTTACGTACTATGTTTTTACCGGCCCGATATACTACCAGAAACTCAAGCATATGGTCCAAGATAAAATGCACTCACGTGCCCGTGGACCTCGCGCGACGCTTACCCGCCAGCCCACAGAAGGTCGATCTCGAGATGGAGGTCTCCGCCTAGGAGAAATGGAGCGTGACTGTCTGATTGCGTACGGTACAAGCCAGCTTCTCCTTGAGCGGTTGATGATATCGTCCGATCGTCATGAGGTGGATGTTTGTGAGAGCTGTGGATTCATGGGCTATTCCGGTTGGTGTCAGCGCTGTAAGTCCTCCGTGGGGGTGGTGAAGATGGTCATACCATATGCGGCCAAGTTGCTTGTGCAGGAGCTTTTCAGCATGAACGTCGTAGCGCGGTTAAGGCTGCAGGACGAGTTCCCTGAAGACCGAGGCATGTAGCATGTTTTATCGTAGCGACTTTCAAGTTGGCATATTTTTTGGATTTTTGCATTTACGTGGGTTCGATTGACTACTGGGACAAAAAAAAAGAGAGAAAGATAGACATCCAACATAACGAGTGTTCGCAATGTATATTAGTGAATGACATACATTAATGATAAACAAGCGGACGAAATCATTGAGTCTACTGCACCTCCTAGCTAGGCAGTGTTTCTGTCTTTACTTGGCAGCATCCATCTTCTGCTTTGCGAGCGATGCAACACTCTGCACATCCGATTGGGTGATGCTTCCAAACTGCTGTTTCCAGAACTCCCAACGTTCAGGGCAAAGTCTTGCCTTGCCCTTATACAAGCTTCCGGCAGCGAGTGGCTGGCCTCTGTTTGGCTGCTCCTCTGTTTTCGCTGCTTCTTCCTCTTCTGCCTCTCTGGCAGCATCACCCTTTGCCTCTTCGAGTAGGTACTGGCCGCTATACAGCATCCATTGTGCTGCTGCAGCAATGTCACACTTGTGGCTTTCCGCCGCGGTAACCGGCGCCTCTTCAAGAGCAGACCGGAGACTCCAGACGGCAAAGTTGGACCAGTCGATCTGGTTGAGATTCAAGAGGCGTGCTGCAAAGGCGTTCTGGTTGATCCATCGCTCGGCCTCCTCGGGGGTGGGAGCCTTGTCATCACTTGATGGTCCTGCAACCGTATGAGCAGAAGCCAGATCGACATTCTTCTTGTCCAGGGGACACGCTTACCTATCCAAGCCTCTCTCATAGCCGGCCCGAGTAAAGGCAAATCAGCCCACATTTTGACGTTGCTCTGCAATGGTATGGAGATTAACATATTACTTCACTAAAATAGGGGCCCCATTTTGTCTGGCTATCCTCTATTGAATCGAACTCACCCCCCAGACCTCAATATCAGTAGCCGGCAGCTCAGTCAGCGCTTTGATCAGCTCCACCAGGCGGTCCTGAGAGGCATGGTCACTTGGGATCTGCTTAGCAATCTCGATCATTGAGTCCCAGATCTCCAGAAGAAAGCTCTCGTGGTCTTCATTTGGTTTTCCATCGTTAGACTGGCGCTTATCTGGAGTCAAGTCGTCAATCTCCTTGGCAGCAGCGGAAGGAGCAGTGCAGCTACCAGGCTGCAGGTATCCAGTGAGAACTTCGAAGAGCTTCCTATGGACGATCCAAGGTTCACCATCTTCAAGAGATGGGAGACGGAGAGAGAGAGGTGCCATGTTGTCGTTCAGATATGCTATTGCTGCTGCCTGTACAATCAGAAAACCAGATGGGTGGTGGTTCGATGAAGCATGCAGCGGGGTAGTTGTTATATTCTTTGGCACCCTTGAGGATCGGATCACTCTTTAGTTGACTAGTAACTGGTTTTCTGTATGTTTTCTGCTCTGTCTGCCTTGCTGGAGTGGGGAGAGGCCTGGCACCTACAAGTGACGACTGAACATCGACCAAGGGCGCTGTGACGTGACGTGGCTATTGGCTGCGGATAGTCGTCTCCGATTCTTGGCCAGTAAAGTCGACCGGGCGCAAGGAAAGCGGGAGAAAGGTGTTTTTCGTCGGATGGTAGGCATTGGTTAACTGGACAGAGGCCAGAGTGTCCTTTAGCTGTTCTCTGGCTGTCTTCTAGCTTGTTCTTCTGGCTTGTCACTGGCATCAGTATCAACGTCTTTATCAAAGGGAGACCTAAGGGGGGCGACAACCACTTTGAGACCCCCCGTGGGTTTGGTTAAGGTTCAGGAGGGGAGTTTAAAAACGTTAAATGCGCTTATATACACACTCGCCCGAATCGGACTGATTTCCTGTTTAAGAACTAGATGCTGAGATGCGGTGAGATCCTATTTCACCTAGTCAACCGCATATACGTAGCCGGGAGGGACTTTTTGCTCCGATTCGTACCTGGATCTCTACTCCTACAACTATCTACCTGCTGATATATAAGTACCGAGAAGCTATGATGGCCTGTCTTACATAAGACGGCCCGATAGGGTGGTTGGGAAAGCAGGAAAGGATCAAATAAGGGGAGTAAACAAGAGGATTTGCCACAGGTCTAGCAATGCCCGCATGAAGTACGGAGTCAAGAGTAAATAAAAGATAATTTAATCATAATAGTTATAATAAGTGGCCAATGGAAAAAAGGGAGCTTGTCCGGAATTATGTCGAGTTGTGCATCGCGCATAAGCTTGAGCATAATAAGTATCGCCAAGTGAAATAGTTATGCCAAGAGATATTCGACCTGCTTATCTAATGGGATATTGTGGCTAGTGAAAGCGAGAGCCCGATGGGAAGCTCAGATGGCATCAAGTCGAGCAGCTAACTAGCTAGCTAACATTAACTAACCAGTTACGGAATTAACTAACTACGTGCTTACGAAGTAACTTGTTAGTTAGTTGTGACGATCCTAAACCGGCGTCGATCAAACATCAGCCCACGAACCGGGCTGTCTACGGGACCGGGGAGATAGCAGCATGGAGAGGAGTACTCCGTATTTTTCTTCCTTCGGCTGCAGTTACTTAGATATCTTGGAGCTGCTGGCCGAACGCCCCGCTATAATGGCACTGGTCACCTTTGAGGATCTGGAGACTGGCCAACGGTGTGTTAGTGCAGAGATCTGATACCCTATACATGCTACAGGACAGGTTCCACATATCACTATAGAACACCATTTTACAGGCTCTGTGAAGAGGATGTGGTATCCCTGTGCAGATCTTTCTCTCCTTCTTCGAAGCCTCCCGGGGAATACCGGTCGACCTACCTACGGAGGTTTAACGCTGCCCTGACGGATCAGCTAGCAAATACACAAGCAATTCGTTTGAATTCTGGACAGTTCAACAATTCACCGTCTATTCTAACAATATGTGGATTACAGCTCCTTTTATCCTTTTGGCCGTTGGAGAGGAGAAATGATAGTTAATCTACATCCTCGACAGATCACTCCCTCTTTCAGTATCAGGGCCCATCTTCATCTTGGAAGAGAGGGCATATCATGTTATTTTCCATGGCTACGAGCTAGAAATGACCAGAAAATTTTTATCTCGGCCGTCACTTAAATCTGCAGTCGGGCTTCAGTTTAATAGCCAAGACCAAGGCTGATATCCTGCTGGAGTCGTCAAGTTGCTGCAATCCTTCATTGCCATGCCCACCAGGTTAGATAGGTATCCAGCTCCCTACTCACTTGGGTAACCTGGCTTTTACCATACTTCGGGATAACAATCCAACTGTCAAAGCCAAGACAACCAACCGGCCAAGGTATCTTACAATTGGACATGGCAATCCGACTGCTAGATAAGATGTTTTCTCATACCTTCGTAGTCCGAGAAATCTGCCTAGAAATTTAGACATGCTCCTACATAGAACATGTATCATGCTCTATCTAGCAATTAAGCTCATTTGGACCACCCGATTCTCCTTGGAAACCCTATCTCTCTGTCCCTAATTAACCTGCGATCTGCCCAAAGACGATGCAAATCTTGCATCTACCTATTCATTCAGATGACTGCCTAACTGCGACATAGTGCTTGGCAAGGTCTTCTGCATGGCCAGATGATTGTTCGAGCACACAATCCTAGAGATTATCGAGAAGAATGGGAAAGATACGAAGAAAGATGTCTATATAAAGAACCCTTTGTCCTCCAAACTAGTCAGCTTATATCCTCTCATCAACACACAGATCATCGAACGCAACAAAACAGCATATTAACACAGCTCAATCCACTATACGAAACATCTTCCACAAACCAACTCTCGTCAAAATGGTGTCCTTCAAGGCAATTCTCACCCTCTCCCTGATTGGCGCTGCATTTGCAACCCCCATTGAACAGCGAGCTGCAGAGCCCGTTGAAGACTCTGGCGCAGTTGCAAATTCCCCTGAAGGAAGTGGCATGGACCTCGGAGGAACAGACCCAACTGCAGATGCCATTGAGGAGCGCGGCCTGCTTGTGAGAAACATCCTTCGTCAGCTACTCAATAACAAACAGTCAGGACTGACAATTATATCCAGCACGTCCAATGCCATAACGTGGCTCTCCCGGCCGCCGCGCAGGTAATCGATATTGCAAACGCTAAATGGCAACTTGGCCACGCTCCGATCGAGACAGGCAGGTCTGGCTACCCTCACGACTTCCTGAACCTGCAGCACTTCCGCTTCCCTAGGCGCTGCAGGGGCAGGTCTCTCCGCGAGTACCCGGTCTTCCAGCAGCACCATAAAGTATACAACTATAACTCTCGCCCCAAAGAGAACCCTGGCCCCTTCCGCCTCATTGCTACTAAGGACAGCCGACATTTCTGCGGCATCATCTCTCATGATGGAATTGGTCACAATCCAAACGCTGGACTCTTCCACCTCTGCAAGTAGATGTATCTCTTGCCACACATTCCGATTTCGAGTCCTTTGACGCACAGCTGACTTGAATATCTAAGTGGTGGAGGATCTAATGATGTCTGAAGTATTGTGGAAGATTGAGATGATTTGTCTGGAAATGCTTAAAAGTTTTGACTTTAATTAATTAAAATACCCTTCAATAAGAGATTATAGTGAACCTTAGGAATAGCTCCGGATTCTCATTAAACACCCGAATAAATCCGTTTAGCCGAACAAAACCAATTCTTCTATGTATACTCTGGATGCACACTGACAATTCCGCTATTCGATAGCTTCTACATACTCCACTCTTCTATAATTTCGCTAGATCCAACCAATAAACTAGTAGAACGGGTATTATTGCGGCCATCACTCGTTTGTGTCGATTTCCCATACTCGTATGGCTCGACAACTGTTTCAAATCGCACGCAGTCAATCGGGTTCAAGTAATTTCGGGACAATAACCCCCCTGCGCATCGGGGACTGCTTGGATATGTAGCGGAAGCCTCAAGTAGTTTGCCGGTATATAAAGAGTAAAGCTGTACCGTCGACAAATCGGTTGCTGTACCCAACCTAAGTTAGCATAGAGCTCATCAGGGGCTTCTAGGAAAAGCGAGACCTACCACAGGCCGCAAGCCCAAGTTCAGCAGAAACATCCAAGTCGTTTAGTGTGCTATAGTTGATCTCGCCGAACCGAAGGTAAGGCGTACTAGATCGGTGACTCCGACTATTTGGATCTAGATGACGCTGGGCAGCTGCTCGAGTGAACCGTAGATCATACATATCAAGCTACGTATTGCATTGTTAGAGCAGAAGCTGTAACTAGGCCCCCATTCCGGTTTGAGGCAAATATGGGTATACGGGCTTGTAAAATCCTTGGATATACTTACCGTATTATCAAACCCGGCAACGAGTACTTTCGACTCGCCCACCATTTTCAGTTTTTTCACGCCATGAGAATGCACCAGTCGTGTAGTCGAGGCAGCGCACCGCCAGTCAGTTAGAGCTACGGCTGAATTCCGCAGACCGACAATCACCTCGCTATTGCTTATCCAGTCAACTGCCATTATATCGGCTGGATAGACATTAAAGCGACCCATTGAGTGCATTCCATGAGCAGAGCTCACAACCATCAGCTCGTTTCCGTGCCCAATTATGAATGAACATGAATGGGCACCTGGATAGGCGACGGCTGAACAGAAGCTTGCATTTTTCCGCTTAAATACCGAGTAATCTAACGCCCATTGCACATTGTTAGCTAGTCAGTAGTAAGCAAGGACTACTACATCTTTTCGCCTTACTTTGGAACACGCTTCTGCTGCTTCTACCATATATCTCATCAGGCTCAATGAGCTTGCAAACGGCAAATTCGGTGCCTTTCCCGGACAAAAGGCCCTGGGACACCACACTGCATAAGGGTGGTTAGCAGCTGCTTCATCCAGTACAGGCAGATATAATTTGGAAACTCACAGCGCATATCTATCCGTGTTTATAGCGACACTACCAACCTACTGATCGGTTAAGACGCTGCGAAGAAGGAAAAAACCATGGAAAACTTACCCAATCGCAGTGATTGAGTTCGATTATACCGTCGTCAACACGCTCGTCATATTTCCATGGCCTCTTGGACGATAGAGGCCGAAACGCACTAATAAATATCCACCATCAGAAATCCTACCCACTGACAATTTAACCAGGAGAAGATAGGCGGTAAATAACTTACCTAAAATTAGACGTGCTCGTAGCTTTCAGAGCTTCAACAATATCCCGCGTTAGCTATGCGCATTTGATCCGCTGGGGTTTAACCCACGCACATACCGGTAAGTATGATTCCGGTTTTCGGATCTCGCGCAAACTCATGACAATACTGTCTTCCCCTGCGGCTAAGATTAACCAGCTCTCGGCGCTCCATAAGACTGGCGCACGTCATAGCTCTTTGGCTAAGGGTATCTTTACTCGGTACTCTGCATCGACCTGCTTCCTGCTCGACTCCAAGGACGCCAAGCATAGGACTATAAAGCATTTTCGTCCTCTTCACCCTTTCAAGCCGTGTACGCTCATGATGTGCGACCTTTTGCCGCTTTTTCTTTTGTTGGTTGTAAGTAGGTTGTAGTGCGTGATGCTGGAGTGTCGGGGGCTTACCTTGGACTGTGTCTCGCGTTTATTTATCTCAGCATTCGTGTATTTCGGCTCACTTTGACTTTGGGGTGTATGGCCGGGTTGTATCTTGAAGTACTTCTTCTTTTCAGTATCTAGGGTGTTGTTAGAGCAGTCTACCCGAAAGCCGATTAAACGGTCCTGTCCATCACTTTGGAGAGCCGAGTGGGTATAATATAGCATTTCCCTCTCATTTGCCTTGCTTAAACCAGATGGAGAGTAAGGAATACGACAGTCCGACATACCATAGTAGAATCCGGGTATTGGTCTCATGTTTATGGTACGGATATCATTTCTGAGGTGCCTAGACTTTCACCCTCCTATAAAACCGGATAAATATGGCTATAATATCCTAATTTAATAGACAGAAGGGCATACGGGCCTGTAAAACGACTTTTTAATGCCCTTGATATATCCAGGTAGGGGTATCTTGAATGTTGTAGGTGGCAAGCAAGTTGAGAGAAACCTTCAGTTTAGGTTATCCAAGATTTTCTCGGCGCATTTTAAGCCGCAACTCTTGGTTCCAGCCGCCGGCGCTAGTTACTCACCAACTAGATCGAATAGAAGATAAATTAACGCTTTATAAAGCCGCATAACTGCTAGAACAGATGCGCGAGTGATTCCTAAGCGACTAATTATGTCGAATCATACGTTGAGTAGAGATTTTGAAATAATATGACGCAACTAGGCAAAAATCCAGTGTGAATACGAAACATCCATCAAGGTACTCCGCGATCAGCAACCAAATGGCCTGACATCCACCGAACGCTTCAATCTGTTCTCGCCGCACACATAGGGCTCTCCAGCAGCCTCCCTCGCCATATCATTAATCCACCTGCCATGTGGCTTACACTTATCGCCCTTCGACATCGAGCTGGCCAGATAAAGCCACGACAGGATATTACCGACCGTTGAAACCTCATCACTAACACTATGCAGAGCATACGCACTCATACGGTCATACAGCTCGTGGTCCGTCCATAAGTCATAGAGGTGTTTTGCCACTGCGTCCGTATCGCTGACTTCAACCAGGTATCCGTTCTTGCCATGCTGGACTTGTAGCGGTATGCCACCTGCCTTGGTTGCGATGACGGGTTTACCTTTATGCAGGGCCTCGGAAACCTTGACCTCGAAGCCTTCGCGGGTGGATAGTTGCAGGGCTATTCTGGCTTTTGAAAGGACGACGTTAAGAATTTGGTCGGATGGAGGGATGTGGATGACGCATATTTTCGATTTGAGGTGGGCGAGGTCGCGCGATAGATACTCTATTACCGAGTCGTAGATGAGGGCGCCGTCTGGGTCGTCAACTGAGCCGTGACCGCAGATTAGGAGCTTGGGGGTAGAAACGTCGGGCACGTCTTTGATGAGGTCGTGGAATTTGGCGTAGGACTTGAGAACATCGAAGATGCCTTTAGAAGGATCGAAGCGGGCTACTTGGACGATATATTCATCTATATTCATTTATCGGTTAGAGGAATGTATTGGTCTCTAGAGGGGTGATGTGCTTACCCTGTGGATAGTCAATGGTGGTCATGCCTATCTCCCTGCATTTACCATTGAACACACGACCGTAATATCCCACATCCCAATCATCCATGGACTTATTCAAACCATCAAGCCTGAGCATATTAGTATGCATTCCAACACAATGCAAAACGTGAATAGAACTCACCAATCAGTAGCTGCAGGAAGATATCCCACAGACTCCTTGGGAACCGTACTAGGCACAAACGCCTCAACGGGATGGCTGATAAACAAATCGGCCTGACGGATACTCTCCCAGAAATACTGCCAGCACTCTTCCTGCGGCGAGCCCGGCTGATCAATCAGATCGCTTCGGATCTGTATATGACTTCTGTATATAACAGGCCTGTTGGGAGTCGCCTTTTTAATCAGGGGTATCAAGCCCGGCATCTGCGGGTCGTCGATGATGATTATATCCGCACCTCCCTTCTCAGGCGGTTCAAGGGGCCCTCCCTTACCGAACCAGTATCGATTTGCATTCGCGAATATCCAGTCCGTTAGGTCTCGTTTATGCTGATCCGTTAGTCGTTGGTCAGGCGCAGCCACGCCCTGCAGAATGTTATGGTTGTTCTTGGTGATGCGGAATACACCTGGTCGTGGTCGTGGCACGAACCTAGCCAACCAAGTTAGAATGGAAACGGGAACATAGCGAAAGGCAATTTGTAACTAACCACTTGATGTTCGTTCCAAGGGCATGCGAGAACCTGACGAGAGCATGCCTCATCAACGCCACGCCTCCCCCTTGCGGTGTACTGCTGAAGAAAGCAACCTTGACATTCCGCTCTTTCATATCAGCCGCATACTTCATCACCGCTCTCCACGTACGTTCGTCAACCGTCTTCTCATAATCGGACAGCGAAGTAAGCACCGCCGTCGACCCGGCGTCAACATCAACCAGTCCCCTGAACCCAACCTGCAGTAACGGCGCCTGGTTAGGTCCAAAGTATCTATTCAGCTATCCATTAGCATCCCGTCAAACAAGGAGTCTGCAACAATGACATACGTAATGCACTTCCTCGCAATGGACTCTGCACGCTCATCCAGAGTCTTCGTCCGCCACAGCTCCATATTAACCCACTCCAACCTCTGCGGACCGTGCGGATCAAGTACGAACGGAACGATGTCTAACTCCGCCCACATCCGCGAGCACAAGGCCGGACACTTCTCAACCAAAAGCGATGGCAGAGCTATTCCAAAGAACTTCTCTAGATGATCCTTCTCGTACGTGCGCAGCTGGTCGATAATGAACTGTGTAATCACCTCCCCGACCTCGCCGGGCTCATACTGCTCAATGGAGAAGTGGTGTTCGCAGAAATCAAGGAAGTAGACCGTATCACGGATCGCAAGGGCAATGCCAATCCGCTTGTCGTCATTCTCAAAAGAGAAGGAAATGCCGCCGTATATTGTCTGCAGTCGTTAGCAGGGGAGAGAGAGAGTATCTAAGAGGTTGGTTGGTTGGGCGTACCTCCGACGGCGGTCCAAGCCATGACTTCTTCCTGATGTTTTCTAGAAGATGGTATTTCTGGTATACTGATGTGCGGCGCTGGAAGAGTCTGTTCTGCGAGGTAGCGGCGTCGACTACCTCTGCTAGATGGGGAGTGAAGTGATGCGCCGGGGGCGCCGGATGGTGCGCTAACATGGTCAATCGTCAACCTACTACCAACGTACTACTCAGATAATAGGTAATGATGGTATGTGTGTATAGGTATGAATGGCCTCATGACCGAGGGTATAAATAAATAGACGAGAAGTAGGGGAAGTCGGAGCTGTTGCGTCACTTCTTCCAAGCTTAGCCTAGCTACTGGCCAGGTCAGGTCACCGGGCATGGCCCATGGCCCAATGAGGATGGTAGAGACGTTAGCTAATTAGAGCTTGATGTACATGGTACAATATCAACCTGGACATATCCTGGGGAACAGAGTAGGTATATGGCGACGTTGATGGTGGTTTCGTCATTATCCCGGCGGTTGAGGCATAGCTGCATCATAACGTCCGGGTCCACCATCTATCTGTACGATAGATTGAAAGCCCGCAATGAAAAACACCTTGCATCTAAGTATATGATACAAAAAGATAGCTACTTCAACACCACTCGAGCCAAGATAGATAGGCTCATCCAGCTCGTCTATCCGCGTGGCGAGACGTCGAAGCCGAGAAGCTGAAGTTGTTTCTTTGACGTCCAAGTTAGGTTCGGAAGTTAAAAGAGTATGATTACATAATCACACACATAGAACAGCCGCAAGAAGAGGGAGAAAAGGGAGAGAAAAATGAATACAGTCTAAGAATTAAAACCACACAGGGCATATCTAATAGCTACAAATTAGGGTAATTAAACACTCCAAGGCCCATTCACCAGCCAGAAAAACGAACAGAGGAAAAAGAAAAAGGCAAAAGAAACATAAAGGCAACCCAATCCAGGCATAATACAAGGTATGCATGCATGTATGGTATCCAGTAGAACTTGCCTGTTGCTTTTTATGCACGGATCAAACTACATCACTTCAAAAAAGACTTGCATGCTTGGTATTGGCAAAGGAGGACCAGATTATTTGAATTTTTTCTTTATTTCCGCTCTAAACTGTTTGTTTGTTTGTTAGGCCGGGCCCGGATCCTGCCAGAGTGCGTATATGGGTTCACCAAGCTAGGGTCGTTTGCCGTGCCATGCCAGAGGGGGTAAAATCTGGCCAGCTGTGTCTGTCTGTCTATATGAAGGACAAGCAAAGGGGGAGGGTAAGGGGTGTGTGCGTGAAATTGGTAGTAGTGACAAAGAACAAGAAAAGATGCGCGCAGGGGGGGGTTGTTTGAGCTTTAAACAAGGCAAGAAAAGAGGGAATGCAGCCTCCGGATTAAGATAGCGCGTTTTGGGGAATAGGGGTTATGTTCATTTATGCGCTCTTCTCGTGCTGGGTAGAGACACGTTGGAGGGAGACAACTAGACGAGGATGTTAGTAGCTGAATGGATGCATAGAGTATGTTAGGAGGTGGTGGTGGCTTACCGAAATCTTCGAGAGATCGCTGCTTTTGGCTCTTCTTGGGGCTCTTGCCGTGCATCATGTTGTCGAAGCCAGTGGAGCCCTGGAGGAGGTAGTAGATACCGCCGAGAACGCAGAAGACACCGAAGGAGAAGACCCAGACACGGACGACGGCGACGATGGAGGTCTGACCGCCAACGAACCAGCCGAAGATGGTGAAGAGGGTGGCGATGATGTCAACTACGAGAATAGCACCAGACAACTGCCAGGATGGGATGGAGGACCAGAAAGGACCGTTGGCACGGGTGATGAAGATAAGCCAGTTCTCGGTGAGGGAGATCTCGAGGAAGAGGACGGGGTCGATCTGACCGAAGTTCTGGACGATACCGCCGTCCTTGCCGCCGACGAGCAGAGTGGTGAGGGTGATCCAGGTTCCGATGGCGAGGATGACACCGAGAAGGACGGACATACCCCAGAGCTTGGGCAGGTTCCACTTGACGGGGGTCTTGGAGAAGGGAGCGTTGTCGTAGGCGATGGCCAAGGTAGCGATATCAGCGAAGATAGCGATGAAGACGACAAGCTGGAGGTTGAGAGAGGTGTTGAGGATGGCGATCCAGAGACCCAAGAAGATCTCGAGATGGAGAGACAAGGCGATACGGTAGACGACGTAGGCGTACATACGGTGGAAGATCTGGCGGGAGGTCTTGAGGGCGTCAATGATGGCAGAGAGACCGGGGGCAAGGAAGACGATATCGGCAGCAGATCGGGCGGCGTCAGAGGCACCCTCGACGGCAATACCGGTGTCGGCCTTCTTGAGAGATGGAGCGTCGTTAACACCGTCACCAGTCATGGCAACGAGGTAGCCACGCTGCTGCAGGATCTCGACGACGTTGTACTTGTGCTGGGGGAAGACCTCGGCGAAACCATCGGCAGCCTCGACGAAATCGTAGATGTCAGATCCGGGCATGGTACCGCCACCACCGAGACCGAGACGTTCAGCGTTGTAGATGTTGGTTCCGAGACCGAGCTGGCGGGAGGTTTCACGGGCAATACCGACGGCGTCACCAGTCAACATCTTGATGGAGAGACCGAGGGTCTTGGCTTCGTTGACGGTCTTTGCGGTATCGTGGCGTGGAGGATCGGAGCAAGGCATGATTCCGAGGATCTCCCAAGAGCCCTCACCACGCTTGCGAGCAACACCGAGAGAACGGAAACCACGGGTAGCGAATTCGGCGACCTTGTTCTTGTAGGCGGCGTCAATGTCCTCTGGGATGGGGTGGTCTTCCTCGACGGTCTTGAGAACGAAGAGAGGAGCACCCTTGACACAGATGATGCGCTCACCCTGGGGGCTCTCGACGACGGCAGAGACCTTCTTGGAGACGGGGTCGAAGGGGTGGAACTGGAGGACCTTGTACTGGGTGAGGACGGACTTGGCACGGGGGTAGTAGCGGAGAGACTTGAGGAAGGCCTTGTCAATGGCATCGATACCCTTCTTCTTGCGGGAGGCAGCGAGACAGGCAGTGAGCATGAGGTCCTCGGGGTCGACACCAGAGACGCAGTAGGGCTCAGCGAGAGAGAGCTTGTTCTTGGTCAGGGTTCCGGTCTTGTCAGAGCAGAGAATCTCGACACCAGCGAGGGACTCGATGGCAGAGAGCTTCTGGACGATAGCCTTCTTCTTGGCGAGGTAAGCAGCGCCGACAGCCATGGTGGTGGTGACGACAGCGGGCAGACCGACGGGGACACCGATGATGGTGATGGCCAGGGTGAACTCGAGGATGGTGACGATGCCGTTGGAGCGGTAGAAAGAGGCAACCCAGGCAACGAGCAGGGTGAAGATGACGAGAATGAGCAGGACAGTTCCAATTCCGTTGAGGACCTCGGTGAAGTGACCGCTTCCGGCGGAGGCAGCGTTGACGAGGGCGGCGGCACGACCAACGAAGGTGTTGTCACCGGTGGAGGTGACGACCATGAAGGCCTCACCACGCTTGATGGAGGAGGAAGCGTAGCAGTGGTCTCCCTTGTGCTTGTCGACAGCGAGAGACTCTCCGGTAATGGCAGACTGGTCGACCTGGAGGAAAGCGTCTTCGGTCACAACACGGCCATCAGCAGGAATGATAGTTCCCTAACCTGTTAGCATTTATCTTCTACAGTAACAAGTAGTCTCTGCTGTCAGAGCAAAGATATGGAGTACTCACTTCTTCGACCTGGAGGATATCACCGGGAACGACTTCGGGAGCTTCGACTTCAACAAGACGGCCGTTACGGAGAACGACAGCCTTGAGGGCGAGGGTCTTTTTCAATTCGTCGACAATGGAACCGGCCTGGAACTCCTGGATGAAACCAACACAGGCGTTGAGCAAGAGAAGGGCGCAAATGACACCAAAGTCAACCCAATCTCTCAAACCGGCAGCAAGAATAGCGGCGGCCTATACATTTTGGTTAGTACCAATCAATCAATCAATCAATTGAAGTCCTATGAAGAGAAATCTTACCTCCATGACGAACTGGATGGGTCCGACAAAGTAGGAGAAGAACTTGAGGATGAGGTTCTCCTTCTCCTCCTTCATCTGGTTGAGACCGTACTTCTTGCGGCGGGTGGTGACCTCGGCGTCGGTCAGACCGGTGCGGGTGTCGGTCTGCAGCAGCTCGTCCGGCACGGGACGCTCGCCACCGGGCTGGTCATCGTCCTCCTCGTCGATCTCGTCGATGTGGCCGTCCTGAGACTCGAGGTCGGCAATGAGCTGATCCATGTCCTCGTCCTCCTCGTCGTCCTCGGGCATGGCGCCCTTCTTCTCGTCGAACGCGGCCGAGGTCTGCTGCTGCTGGTGCTGCTGGACCTCATCCTTGTGCTCGCCGCCGAACTGGCCGCTGGGAACAGCAGTGCCGAGATGGTTTGGCGGGACAGGCTGGCCCTGCCCCTGGGCTGCGTGGTCGGCCATTGCGAATGACTTGTTTTCTTTCTTTCTTATTTGAATTGAAAGTGGGTTTTTTTTCTTCGTGGGGTGGTCGTGAGGTTCGGTCGTTAGCTGGTCGTAAGCTGGGAGCTGGTCGGCGATCCTACGTGCTCATCGAACAAGACGCAGTCGCAGTCGCAGTGACTGGCTGGAATTGCAGAGAGGAAGAAGAAAGGGAGGAGAGGGCGAGAAGAGAGAGAAGAAGGGGAGACGCAAGGGGGAGAAGAGAGGATGGCGGGTTAAGAAGAAGAAGAAGAAGAAGAGAAGGAGGAGGAGGGAAGAAGAGAGAGGCAGGAAAAAGAGCGAGGGCGAGCAAGATATAAGAAGAGAAGCCGAGCAGCGCCAGCAGGAGAAATGAAAAGTGGGTGCGACCGCCTGCTGCCCCGGTAAGGTATGGTAAGACGCCCACATAAGACGACACTCGAAAGGTGAGTAACTTTGGTAAGGAGGCGTAAGGATACAGGCGACCCAAGGGAGCTCCAAGGCGTATCCGCGGTAAAACTCGATCGGGACTAGCGCTGAAAAAATAAAAAGAAGAAGAAAAGAAAAGAAAAAAAAAGGAAAAAAAGACCCACTTCTTTTGGAGGCCTTTCCTCTTTCGGCGATGCTGGTGTTGTCACGTCTTGTCACGTCTTGTCACTTTTGGTATTTACCATCATGATACACAGACGAGAGAAGAGCGCAGACAGTAAAGCAGCAGCAGCAATAGTAGAGTGATAGCAGTAGTGATAGTAGTAAGTAAGAGTAGAGTAAAGAAGAGTAAGTGGAAGAGTCGGCTAGGACGGCGGCAGGGCAGAGCAGCAGAAGCCAGTTAGGGAACAGCCAGAGGAAGCCTTGGGCGGAAGTCTTCTCCTCGCTCGACGGACGGCTCTCACGGCCGATATCAGCTCGATCTTTGCTCATCATCCTCTTCCTCCATCTACTACGTCACTTCTACACAAGACTACCTCGTCTGCGTCGCCGTCTACTCCAGGAGTACATCCTCAGACTGCCTCTACCACTCCTCGGCCTTAGAACGGGCCTGAACCGACTCCGACTGACCGACCGGCCTGCCTCCCGAGCCAATAACACTCCCTCTCCCTCCTCCATACGCCTCCATCCATCTCCCTTCCTTTTCCCTCTCCCTCTCCTTACTTATCTTTATCTCCCCCTCCCGCTGCCTATCACCTATCACCATCAATCTTTGTAACGCTGGCCGCTGGTCGCAGTGGAGAGAGCCCACGAACGAAAATTTTCTTTCTCAACCCTCCTCCCCTCCTGTCTCTCTCCACATGGCCTCCCTTACCCGTCTCGCTAGTTAGTTAGTTAAACCACCTTCTTCTTCTTCTTCATATCAAGTCAGAAATTTTCTGACGCTCACTCGCCTCTAAAGCTTGACGGAGTTTCCGTGGTCACGTGAAGGGGACCAGGGAGGCCAAGGACAAGCGGTTTTGACGAGCCTTTGAAGGCGAAACCAAAAAAAAAAAAAAAAAAAAACGTCGACGACGACGAACCAAGCGAGCAGGCAGGACGGACAAGAGAGGAGTCAGTCGTCAGTCAAGTCCCGTATCCCCCATGGGGTTGGCAGGCAGGACAAGGGCAGCCAGCACCCAAGGAAAAAAAAAAAAAAAAAACCAAGGGAACAAGGGTGTTGGTTTCCTCCCTCTCCGCCGTGCCGTGGTTTAGTTAACTACGTGATTGTTAAGAAGTGTGTACGATGTTCAAGTCGTTTACTATACTATGTAGTGAAGGGTCGAAACACTTGGCGAGCTCCCTTTGCGCTCCCTCAATTCGCATCCATGTCGTAGATCCAAGACGAACTCGTCACGATGCCAAGGGGGGAAGGGAAGGAGATCTGAAGGAAGCAGAGGCAGCGTCTCTGGGCGTTGGTTTGGCATGCTGGCTTGTCTGAAGAACCCCAAGAGGTGATGTGCGATGGTAGAGCGCTGATAGTAGCACCTGGGAGACCAGAGACCCTTGGCGAGTCAGCCATGGACGGACACGCAGGCTGAGGCAGGGCTCTCCTGTCTTTTTCTTTCTTATTTGTCTCTTCTTTTGTTTCTCTTTTGTTTGTATGCCTTCTCTCTGCCTCTATCGTTATCTCTACGTATGTATGTACTGCATACTCCATACAAGTATCAACCATAACGAGGTAAATAACTCGGCCGTTACAGCGTCCATCTTTTCTTCTTTTTCTTTCTCTTTCTTCTCTCTCTTCTTTTTCTTCCCGACGAGATCAATTGCTTGTTCTTGCTTATCTGCCCCCCTCCGACCCTGCCTGCCGACCGAATCAGACTCACCTCTTTTGCTTGCTCACCTTTCTTTTCCTCACTTTTTTATACCTCGTCGGAAGTCTCAAACTGACCGCATAATAACCAACACTAACCAGGTACGGTACCTACCTAAGTACCTAGAAAGAGGCCCCGCTGACTAAGGATGCTAACTTTTTCTCCTTGGGACTGGCCGTTCAAAACCAAAAAGAAAAACTCCCTTCGGCAAGTTCGGCAAACTCGCTCGACTTGACGCCTCGACTTCCTCTTAACCTCTAAGAGTAAAAGAAAAAAGTCCTCAACTTCGGAGCTAAAGGTGGTGAAAAAGCAAGCAGGGCCAGAAGGGGAAATAATCCTCCACCCCACGGAGACGGAGAAGAAGGGGCCTTGCTTAAGGTTAAGATAGAGAGAAGGCCAGTCAGTCGTAGGACTCCGTAGTAGTAGTATCAGTGTTAAGGTCAGGCTGTCCCGAAAGACTGATTCTGCATGATCGGAGTTGGTTGACTAGCAGAAAAGAAGGTTAGGCTGGCTCGTACTTAAAAAAAAAAGGACGCGGATGTAACGCGACGACGGGAGTTTATGACGGGAAGCCTGAAGCCTGAAGCCTTACCAGAGAGACAGACAGACAGACACTTTGACTGCTCCTGTTAACGAGCTAGCTTTAGTCGGTGGCTGATCGTTGCTTTTGAAAGGTTATGCCGGAGTAATAATGTTAGCTGCAGGCCAGGTTACTTTACTTTAGGGTGCTTCAACTTCCATCCATCAGGTGATTGTCGATGACGGCCTCTAATGCAGCTGCGCTCATTGGTCAATGGCTGGCTTGCATCTTGCTTCTGCCGTCAAACAGTCAGCTATTTTCCTTACTTTCTCAAGGTCTATCTATAGACGCTGTTAATACTCACTCAAACCTGGGCCATTGGTAGAAGTAGTTACTTAATAATGCCATGCTATGCCATGCCATGCCACCCTCAGCGGGTAAACGTGGAGTACCTCGTTAGGTTAACTATCCAGCAGGTACCTCCTGTACAAAGAGGCAAAACCGAGAAAACTCCTCCATCGATGCGGTGTAGATGGATGGAATGGAATGGAATGCGAGAGCCACTCGGGGACTCGTTGCCGGGCCTTTTTTTTTTTTTTTTACTTCTTCTTCTCTTCTCTTCTTCCTCTGTCTGTGCAGAACCGGCCGGCAGGATGACACACCTAGCTCACACGACCGCCTGCTCAACTTAATCGACGAGGGATGGAAACAGCGGCACTTGGCCATCTTCTTCCAGTCCCCGTAGATTTGGGGCGTTGGGGGGCGTCGTTCCTTTTTTTTTTTCATCTCTCATCTTTTCTTTTTTGCCTTGTCAAATCTCTTTGCTTTCCTCTCTTCCTTGCTTTTGTTTGTTATACATAGATTACCGTTTTGCCTGTGCGTCGGGCATGAGATGGACGGCGGACGGCGGACGTGGACGTGGGCATGGACGGGTTTGCAAGCCATGTCCCATGCCCCATGTCCCCCCAGCCATGCCCATGCCATGCTAGCGTCTAGTTATATGCCGGGCGGCCACGCTGACATGTTCAACAACTCAGTGTGTAAGTAAATAATAATAATAGTTATGGACAGGCATGGTTATATCGGTCGGTACGGGCCCGTCCATGCGTGCGAGAAAAGTGTCACCGGACTCTCTCTTCTCTGGCTCTGGCTCTGGCTCTGGCACCTCGTTTCTTCTTTTTCTCCCTCCATATCTATCTTCCTTCCTGCACCCCAGTCGAGGTTCAAAGCGTCATCTCACATCTTAACTTTTTTACGCTTCCTTTCCGCCCTTTTTTTGCTCCCAATCCAACGGTCTCCGGCTCTGGCTCCGGCTGGCGCGGATGTCGAGCAGAAGTCTCTTTTTTTCTCCTTCTAGCCTGTGCACTCTGACACGGCGTATATCCCGCAATTGCCATTCAACTCGTCACCGTAGTTATATGGCTATCAATTGCGTCTGCCGGCCGGCCCGCCATCTCGGAGAGATACGGCTTCCACAACAACAACAACAACAGCAACAACAAACAAGCAAGATAGCGATAATGCACATCAATGCTTTAGAAGCCAGTAGAATCGCCAAGCCGGGTAGACGAGCAAGACAAGACTCGTTCTCCTCAATCTCTCCCCATACTTGTTAGGCAGTGCTCCGTAGTAGTAGTATTATTCTTGAAGTATTATTATATGGGACCAAGCCCTACGCTAACGGCGTCGGGGTCTGGTTAGGTGACGGTTGAATGGGTCGTCCGGTGTTCCCCTTGGAGAGAGTGAAGCGAGCGAGCCTCTTCTTCGTCTTCTTCTTCTTCTTGCCTTCGTTTTCTGCTGCTTCAAAGCTGGGACGGACGGGGGCGGGTCAGGAAGGATTTCCGCGGGCCTTGGAAACAAGCAAGCCAGCGCAAAAAAAAAAATAAAATAAAATAAAAAATAAAAAAAATAAAAATTCACACGAATCACGAAAATGCCGCAAAGGTCGCAAGATGAATCAAAGTTTTCATCCACCTCCCAAGCGTCGCTTCTTCTCTCTACTTCTCTCTGTCTCGCTCTTCGTCTTCAATGCTGGCTGGCTGGCTGGCTCTGTGTTGTCTCGCTTTTCCCGCCTTCTTCGCGTCTTCTAGAAAAGCTTGCCTGCGGTCTTGTGTCGTTTTATTCACGCATTATTATGCAGGCGTCTTCTTCTCTGCTGCCGCTGCCGCTGCTGCTGCTGCCGTGTATGTAACTAATAGTGTATGGAGACGGGCCTCATCATTTCGGGTGCTTGCTAGCTAGTGCTGTGCTGTGCTGCAACTCCTCTGCTGCTGTAACTGTTGCAGTAACTAGCAGCCATTATTGTGAGACGGTGACCTCATCGCGGCCATAAGATGTTCGTCTATATTATTGCTATCCACCGTCTCAAGAGAGAGCTAGGTAAGTCTCGCTGTTTATCCCTCTCCCGTTGCCATCGTAACGGGGCCTACCTATTAATATTTTCTCGGGGTGGTCCATGCCCAGGTGTCATCGGTGATGCATGCAAATCATCAATCGAAGCAGCTAGCGAGTCTGGTATGCCTTGGGGAGAGGCCGTGCCGGTCAATCAGAGCAGAGAGCTTCCTCCGCTTCGTCTGGCCTACCCTTGACGCTCCTTGCAGCTGTCTTTTCTTTTCTTTTTCTTTTCTTTTTTTCTTTCTCTTTTAAATATTCCCTTACTTTAGGCCCTCCTCTCTGGGGAGAACAGGCGCCATTTCCGACAGAAGTACTTATACGATGGAGGAGGACCCCCAGGCGTATCTTGGGGCGTAATCCCCATGAATAATGACGAGCAATAACGCTGTAAAGTAATCTGGGCATGTCCGCCAGTACTCTGTAATGTACGGAGTAACAAAGCCTCGTATCGCTCTCCCGCTGCACTTTAATGACGATTATTACCTCATCTCTCTCTATTCTCGCTCGCTCGCTCGAGCTTGAGCTCCTTCTTCAAGAGTTAATAGTGTACTGTATGTACCCGTATCAAATACTCGGTACCATACACACCCCGTATGGTACGTATGGCCCGTATGTAAGTAATAAAGCTGCTGTATGTAACCTGCAGGACGGGACTAGCTCGCGGTAGTCAAGGAAGAGCAGGACAAAAGGACAGGGGGGGCGAAAGAAGATGAAGGATAGCTTCCCCCAAGCTCCCACAAAGCAAGTCATGATGACACCTCGCTTGCCCAGCACCAGCACCACCACCACCACCACCAAGCAAAGCACAGCCGCTCAAAGCTGGACCAAGACGCCCTCCAGCCATCCTTGACCCCTTTATCCGCCCAATTGACCTGCCAATGCCTCCCTCCTCCTCCCCTTTTTATTCCCAATTAAATATTTCGCAGATCGTGCTCGGCGCAAGCATTGGCGACGACCAGGCGGCGGCGGGAGGGGGGACGAGGGAAAGGAAGGGCGAGCAGCAAGGAAAAACGAATAACTCGACTATGAAGGGGGGAGGAGGAGGAGGAGGAGGAGGAAGCTTGCCCCAAGCTGTTTGTTCGCTCCCTCGTCATGCTGCAGATGTCGACGTGGGTTGGTCGGTGGAGTCCCATGGGCAGTTAGGAAATGAATTTTGAAACTGCGACCATTGCCTTTTCTCGTGCTGCCATTGGTCCACTTGCGCTGGGCTGCATATTGCTTTGCCAGGGGTCAGCAAAGGGGACGAGCAGATGCGTGTTTGGCGGCGGGCGTCGGTTCTGGTGGTTCTTCTGGGTGGTGATACTCTTGGGTCTGGGGCTTGGTAGGAGTTGCTCCGGCGAGTCAAGTAGTGTTATCTCACTCTCTCTCCCCCTCCCTCGCCCCCCATTTATACTTATATCCATATATCCATTATTGATTATATCATAAGTGTATCCGTACCTAGCTTGTGGATGGGCATGCTGGGCTCTAGTAACCTAACTACCTAAGTTTGTTAGTTACGTCCGAGATCAGCAAAACAATAACATATGAATATAAACAAAACAAGCTACCCGAGCCCTTTTGCTTCTTCTTCTTCGTCTTCGTCTTCGGTTTCGGCTTCAACCTTTGGTCGACTCCCTCGCATTGAGAGAGGAGGATGAAGAAGCAAAAAAGGGTAACGAAAAAGAAATGAACCCAGCATGCGCTCAGTGATGGGGGGGTTGGACGATGGGTGGCCTTCGTGCTACAGATAAGCAATGAACAAGCACTTCGTGAAGCGTGGCGATGTTCCCACTTTTTTGTTCCCATGACGTTCGCGGAGACGGATAGCTGCTGCTCACCTCCCTCGGTACGACGATACTATGACGCTGCAGCTTGCTCCATACTTTACTTCAGGTGTTATTTTTATACCCGACCTACTTATGCGGTGTCCTCAACTACGCAGAAGCAAAAGAAAAAAAAAAAAAAGGCACTGCGAGAAGCTGCAAGTTAAGACGAGGTGATCTACACGTGATGAAGCTTAGCTAAGCTTGTTCTCTTTTTACGGCTGGACGGGACGGATGATGAAGAAAAGAATTAGATAGCAATTGCTTTGGATTTGCCATTACATATGTGCCCCAAGTAAATAAGGTGATTGAGAGAAGCAAAAAGGTTAAATACTGTACAAGACTTGAAGAGGAGGAAAGGCGAAAGAAGAAGAAGAAGAAGGGAGAAAGCCACTGACACGCCAGGAAAAGGGAACAAGAAGATAGGGGAAGAACAGATCAATCAATTACACAAAGCAAGAAGAAATGGAAGGGATGCAAAAGTAAGCTCAAACGCCGGCCTGGGTTAAGTAAGTAGAACAGCAAGTCGAGGGAAAAAAAGGGGTATTTATTTTGTTGCAGAGAGAGGGTTGTTCTGGTTCATTCGCGACTGGCACACCGCGAACTAGCTCGGATTGTTTTTTTTTGGGGAAGAAAGCATTTCCTTGACCGAAGGTTTGGAGACTCTTTTAAAAACGCCATGGAGGTATACCGTATACTGATGTCATGCATGGGAGACGGAGGGGGAGGCCGTTTCAACGTTCTGTTCCTACTATTCACTGGCCCTGTGCATTTGACTGTGATGGGGCTCCGGTGGTAGACGTCTGCGTGCCTGGAAGTATGAACCCAGGCGGGAACATTGGCATTCCAGGGAACGAGAAGCCGAACCCTGGAACGGCTGGAGGAACTCCTATAGCATTGGCGTTGGGCCCAGAGGCAGAGTCACGGTCTCGGTCGCGGTCATGGTCACCGCTACCACTGCCACTACCGCTATTGTGGCTGTCGTCACCACCACTTCCTCCTCCTCCTCCGCCGCCACCACCGCCGCCGCCGCTGCGTTCGTTGCGGCGGAAGCGCTCATGGCTATATCGGCTCGACTGGGGCCCACGCTTGCCTCCCTGGTCGGTTGCCATGCGTCGGCTGATGGCTGTTTTGGTTGTTTCAGTTAGTCTACATGCAAAACACAAAGTAGAAGGTTCCAGGCCCTTTAGGTTTTTGTACGTACCCTTGGAAGATACACCGGCTCCAATCTCGATATCGGGCTCTTCAACTACCATTCCATTCTCTATGGGCTTGCCGCCAGTCCCACCGTACTCTGCAGTAAGGAGCCATTTGCGGTCGGCTTCAGTCAGCCGGTCAACGGGTATTATGCTGACTCCAGTATGATAATCACTGCAGTCTCGGGGACCAAATCCAACTCCCCAGCGTGTCTAGAATAACTCAAGGTTAGGCCACCAGGCTATTTATATGCGGGCAAACGGATGTATGACTTACTCTAAGCTGCATGTCTCCGGATTTGTACTGCTCCATTCCTTCGCGGGCATTCATGGCATCGCGCCGGTTGACCATCTTGACGAACGCATGTCGTTTGTCATTGTTGACAATGCATGTCTGAACTGTGCCGTAGCGGGAGAAGAGCGATCGGAGATGAGATTCAGTTGAGCTAATCGCCCCGTGTGTTAAAAAGACAATCTTTCAAATCATAGACATAAACAAGCAGGATGTACTGGTACTTACGTTACACCACCAACGAATAATGTCCGGCTCAGAACTATATAATATACACGTTAGCTCCTTGTTTCATATAGACGCATAGGACTAATAAAGAGATCTATAAACGAACCTTTAATGTTTCCGTCTCCAATGGAATAGTCATAGTCAATGAACTTCGGTCCCGGAGGAGGGAGGTTACTCTCCTTGCGAGGACTAGGGCTTCGACGGCGTCTACCGGGTGGACTGCGCTGACGGTACTCGTTCCCTCGCCGGCCTCCTCTACCGTGCTCACCGCGGCTACGGCCAGGAGAGTCACCATGATATTCACCATACACAGGGCTATCGCGCCGACGAGGGGGGGAAACATCACGCCGTCTATCCCATCCAGGAGACCGTGAACGGCGACGATACTGGCCTGGTGGAGAGCGGGTGTCCCGGTCTCTGTCACGTGATGAGTTCTCGGGCTGCTGCGCATTTGCTCCCCAAGCATTCTGATTCGCTGCGGGCATCTGGCCAAAGGCTGCCAGTGCAGCAGGATTCATATTACCCATTCCACCTGCGTTGGCTGCGTTGGAAAGATTTAAAATTTGAAGAGCTGTAGCCCACTGTTCCTGTGGAATACCCTGTGCAGCAAGAAGCTGGATCAGATTTAATTGCTGAAGGGGGTCTGGAGTAACAGGAGTTGGGGCGGCTGGCTGTTGCTGCTGAGGTTGCTGCTGCTGTATCAATTGTGCAAGCGGATTCTGACCAGGATAAGCACCTGCACCTGCGCCTGCACCTGCAGCCTGACCTTGGGGTTGGTTTTGGAACATGTTTTGGGCGGTATTGGCCAGACCTGGGAATTGGGCGGCAAGATTTCCAGCAAAGGGGTTTACGGACTGCCCGTTAGATTGAAGTGCAGTCTGGTCTACAGGCGGTGCATTTGTTTGCGGGACTGCAGCCTGTGTGTTTAATACATTACTTGTGCTAGTCTGTGTTGCTGGGGCGGCGGGAGCGACTGGGGCGGCTGTGTTTTGCTTTGCCATTTCAGCAAGCGCTTTCAAAATGCTTGATGTGTCAGGAACAGCAGCACCTCCAGCAGGAGCTGCAGGAGCCGGCTGTTGGCCTGATCCACCGAACGCAAAGGAATTTGGAGCCGGTGACCCTTCTGGTGTTGTGGATTCAACGTCTAAGAAAGTTGCGTGTACATTAGAAAAAAATGTTCGTCCATTGTTATAACTTACAGCCATTCGAGTTCCCCCCAAGTATAGAATCCCATGGCTGTATTAAAAACCACTTCTCTAAAACCAATGGGGATGAACTCAGAGGGCGTTTTTCCAAGGGGGCATTTTCTTACTTTGAGATACTGGAGCATTTAGCTTGTCTTTGAACGATTGGAGCATGGGAGCTGGAAATGTGTATCCTCGCTCCCAGATGTCCACCAACTTTTTGATTTTGTCCTAAATTAAAAAAAACCGGATATACGTAAGTGGGAATTATTCAGCCACAGCATGATATATGACCTATTGTTCAAGAAGGGCAGCGGATATAAAATCATAAGTATAAGGGGAGAAAAGGAGTTTCGTGATACGGTGATTTAGGCGTCTTAAGGCAACGCCATGCTGGCGGATGCCTAGGTCTATCATATTCTGCACTGCAGGGGAGATTTTGCTTTCCACCTTGCAGGAGATATTGAGTCTGATTCATGTCTAAGAGTACGCGTACCTTTTGGTCTTCAGGAGCATTGTTTATGATATCAGTCATGAGGACTGGGAGAAGCTCGGTCACTCGGTTAACGCCTGCAGCATACGTTCCATCCGGAGCACTGCCGCCAATCTGCTGGCCAGCCTTGCGTGCTAATTCTACCCATTGTCGAGTTACAGAGTCTACGACATAGAGTACGCCCAACTTGTGTGTCCCCGGTGCTCGCTTAAAATGGGTATAGATCTTTTGTATCAACACCGATTCGGACTATATAGAGAAGAGAAGAAAGAAGTTAGTTAGGGTCCTTCTAGTCATAAAGAGCTTGCAAGAAGTGAGAGTGTCAGGAGAGTATTGCGTATGACTAACCTGAACATTGGCAGTACACAATGAAGTAATGCCGTTAATTTTGGATCCAGACACACCAGGGGGCTTCAAGGAAAGCATAGAATGGAGATAGCCATCCAGCTCTGCTACTGCAGAAGACATGGCTGATAGAGGCTGCTACCGATTTTATGTGAATAGGATGTGAAAGCTAGTACTTGCAAATATGGCTGGTTTTGGGCTGGTATCTGCAGGTTCTTTGGGACCGGAAGATTCCACACTATGTTGTATCTTGTATCTACTGAGAGTAGGAAAGCTATCCGTGATCCAGTAGATAAGGTCTCTATTTGACGCTTGATGGGTGATCTTGTCACTACAGTCCCGGCCACAAGCAGCAGGCTCAGAGAAAAAAGGGCCTACGGCCGGTTGTTCCACTATCAGTTTCAAGAAAGAAGACAGAAAAGATCCAAGCAGGCCAGATACAAGTGATAAGACAGCCTGTCTGCTAATATTAGGCGATGAAAAGTGTTCAAAGAAAGAGAAAAGGGTGATGAAGACAGGAGTTGTTGGGCGCTGGTGAGAAAGGTTTTTCTCTCTTGCAAGTTTCAAGGAGAAGGAAGAAATTTGGCTGTCCTAGACTAACCTAAACAGGAAGGTATGGTCAGGTGACAATGGCGACATGGTCATGTGACTCATGTGATTACGATTATGTAATTGGAATAGAGTTTAACTCGACCTTCAGGCTGATACTCTTTAAGGATGGGGCTCTGGTTCGCTTAAGCTATAGAATACCTCTGATTCCAGATACAAAAGGTCCTTTTATAACTCGCTACTTATTGCCCTGAACTTGGAGTGAGTGTTTGCCTGTCTTGATGAGGCTGCTAGGAGATGAATTCCCACTACCTCTGTACCAAATACCCTCGAACAAGCCCAAGCTAGATACCCCCTAATACGGTTCTACTGAGAGCAGATTCTTTCTCCTGGTTATGGGATAAAATTTCAGGATTGTGGAAGCCAGCGCCCTAAGACAAGGAAACCGAGGCTTCGTCATACAATGGGTTTGCTCATGAGTGGACATGATCAGCCTGTAGTTAGGGCCATACAAAAAGGGCTTCCTCTCGATCATGATAAACCATGTAGGCGATAGCGGAATGAGCTAAATACAAACCATGTTGGTAGCACGGCCTCCAAATTCCCAAAGCAGGTAAAGAATTAGGGAGACTTTAGTTGTTATATTAAACCACCAGACAATCGCCCTGAAACCACAGCTCGGAGAATGTGATCATATAGACGTCGTTTCAAGCAACGCCGTGATAATTCGCTCTTCTCACTTGAGAAATCTCCGTGGGAAGCATAAAAATTAGCTGCTACCATGAAGCGTGCCTGATTACCTTGCGGTTATTTCCCTCGTGGTGCTTGAATCCTTATAGGTTGATCGTACAATGCTCGTCCACCTATTACCACCAGCAAAACTCATTAAGCTGCATAAAGATTTTTCGTTCATTCGAATAATATATATATCCGGATCTTGAGCCTTAAACTGCCATACCCACAATGTATTTCTATACCATTATCCTACCTCAGGAACAGTTTCTCATTCACTTGTTGAGGCCTACATGGGAAGATGACAGGATGGTTTTTATCTTAGAATTGATATGTGGCAGCGAGCGTCCTTGAGCTTAAGATACTCCTTCCCTTTCGTTAAAGACTGTGGGATTCTCCTTCCAGATCTGTGATGGAATGTTTATTTATTTGTTTACTCTAGAAATTCCCTATAGCAGAAGTCACTAGTATGATCTCGGTTGCACCTTCCCACCTTTCTACCATGATTCTACCGTTTTACTATTGACTCTTTCCTTTCAAGGGGCCACAGCTGTAAGTAAACAATTAGGGAGGAAGTCCATCTACCTGCAATGTAAAATATTAATGTAGATTAGAAACGGAAGGGAGAACCAGCCTGAGGCCTGGAGCTCTTCTAGCAATGCTAGCAGCCAAAAGCTGAGCGCAGTGGATCCCACGTATGCTAGGGATGGTAGAATCGGCAAATGCGGTCTTTGTGACGCCATATTAATTAGCCCTGGTAATACGCCAGAAGCAAATTCAATGGTAGGGTATTTATATTCTTAAACTTATGGTGGCAGCCTGTTGCGTTTCGACATCATTGGCCGTCGGGTTCTCCAAATCTCCGGCTAGGACAAACTTTGTAGTTGCTGCTTAATTAGTTATTCGGTCTGCAACACCTGCTCAATCGTCCATAGATCTACTACTATAGATTGAACACTGTATTGCTACAGCCAAGTATGGTACAATACGATGTCCGTCCACCTTCTGAGGTTGATCATGCTCTATATATCGCAGATGTCCTCAATACGTACCAGGAACCTGTGCTACGAGACAATCATATATCCGCTGTGGTCTCTCTAGTTGGAAACGGATGCTCACTGTGGCAGCAACAAAAGTTCAAACGACATGTCAAGCATCATCTCTGGATACGGTGCGACGACACAGAGACCCAAGATCTCATCAAACACATGAATATCTTCTGCGATTTCCTTGATGAAGTGTACGCTACTCCGAGAAATTCAACAGCAAGCCCCGTGTGCAGTGAATATAAAGGCTATTTTGCTTCCAACTGGCTACCGGCTTTTGCTGCAGATGGGTTCCACAGCACCGATGTAAACCTTCAGCTAGTACATCGCAAGTTCGAAAGAACGGGAGGGCATGAAGACACCCAAGCGGCCCCTGAGACCAATGTCATACTTGTGCATTGTGAGCGAGGAATATCTCGCTCTCCTACCATGGTAACTGCCTATCTGATGCGGAAATATGGGAAAAGCCGTGATGCTGTGCTAGCGGATGTGAAAGAAAAGCGGAAGATCCGGCCCAACCCAGGGTTCATGGATCAACTGGAAGTATGGGAGCAGGTCCAATACCAGCCATGGGAGGACAAGGAGAAGACAATTCCTAAAGCTCCTTACAAGGCGTATCTAGAGAGAAGAGCAGTGCTGCTGAAGGAGAAGGGTCTCACCGGGGACGAGCTGCCAGGGATGCAGACCTTGGATTTTTAACACACTCCCCACAATCTGTATGCATTATTCACATTCTAGACAGGTTTACCTCAGACGGGACATGGATGCCGTGGAGATGAAAATAGCATAAAATATCGCTGCAGCTATAATAATAATAATAGCCCATCTCCATAATAATATGTGCGTTGCATCTATATCGCATAACTCTATCTCTGAGCCTCGGCACAGCGCTGCCATGTTCTATAACGACAGCAGCAACTTGCATCATTACAGCCTTTGTCCCTCAGCTGCCTCCGAGGCTGTCTATCGCTCAATGGTTGAGGGAAGCAAGCCAACTGACGCCTGGACAGCCAGCCTTGCCCCTTATTACTTCCGAACTCCATGCATCACCGGCACAAAAAGGAGAAGAAAAAAGCGATGAAAAGATTGCTGGGCCCAACAAAATACCGGGAGAGTAAAAAGACGTCGTGACAATACGTGACGGCCAGGAACTGCGAGACCGGCCCTTGTAATTCCAGCTGGTCACGTTTTTCGGTCCCGACAATACCCTCACAAGCAAAGCAAAACTTCTTCTCCTTCTCTTCCTCTTCAACTTCACAGCTTCAAGTTCATCTCAACCCTCGAACAAGCCTTCCCCTCGCCGTGTACTTCTAATTCGTCCCCTGTACACTATCTTCTATCAGCCGCTGGTATGGCCGCTTCACTCAGACTAGGGAGCGCTGCTCTCCGATCCACCTCCATGGCTTCCAAGCCAGTTATCCAGGCTGCTGGTCGCAATGCTCTCCGACAGTACTCTTCCAAGGCTCCTGTACGTACCCAATTCCAGAATTGAGTATGCTTGCATACACGATGGTTTAGTTTACTAACAAGTGGTTGTTTACCTATAGACCCTCAAGGAGACCTTCGCCGCCCAGATACCAGAGAAGATTGAGCAGGTCAAGAAGCTCCGAAAGTATGTAAAGTTCAAACCCCAAGAACAGTATCGAGACATTGAGAAGTCTGGAGAGCATCGCTGATGACGGCCCTTTACAATCTACAGGGAGCATGGACACAAGGTCCTTGGTGAGGTGACCCTCGACCAGGTCTATGGTGGTGCCCGTGGCATCAAGTCCCTCGTCTGGGAGGTAAGGAGGGTGCTGGACCCGGTTTAGTATGGCAACAGAGCCTAACTCCGCGCTTTAGGGATCTATTCTCGACTCTGAGGAGGGTATTCGCTTCCGTGGAAAGACCGTAAGTTTTTCTTTTCTTTCCTTTTTTCTTTTTTATCTAGATGGACAAATAGCTGTCTTAGGATATCTCAACTAACTGTGGATAACTAGATTCCTGAGTGCCAGAAACTCCTCCCCAAGGCGCCAGGCGGCCAGGAGCCATTGCCAGAAGGTGTGTATAGATCAGACGGATGGAAAACGTGTCTGAAACACGGAGGTCTAACAAGCTGATAGGCCTCTTCTGGCTGTTGCTTACCGGTGAGGTCCCAACCGAGCAACAAGTTCGCGACCTCTCTGCTGAGTGGGCTGCCCGTTCCGATGTCCCCAAGTTCATTGAGGAACTCATCGACCGCTGCCCATCTGACCTCCACCCAATGGCCCAGTTCTCCCTCGCTGTCACCGCTCTTGAGCATGAGTCTGCCTTTGCCAAGGCCTATGCTAAGGGCATGAACAAGAAGGACTACTGGCAGTACACCTTCGAGGACTCCATGGACTTGATTGCCAAGCTGCCCACCATTGCTGCCCGTATCTACCGCAACGTCTTCAAGGACGGAAAGGTCGCTCCCGTCCAAAAGGACAAGGATTATGGCTTCAACTTGGCCAACCAGCTTGGCTACGGTGACAACGCCGACTTCGTAGAGTTGATGCGCCTTTACCTTACCATCCACTCCGACCACGAGGGTGGTAACGTTAGTGCCCACACCACTCACTTGGTTGGATCTGCCTTGAGCTCTCCCATGCTCTCTCTTGCCGCCGGTCTTAACGGTCTCGCCGGTCCTCTCCACGGATTGTAAGTCATCTTTCATAACGTAACCATAGCCATATCATTTGGACTAATCCGTCTACAGGGCCAACCAGGAAGTCTTGAACTGGCTTCAAAAGATGCAGAAGGCCATTGGCAATGACTTGAGCGACCAGGCCATCAAGGACTACCTCTGGTCTACCCTTAACGCTGGCCAGGTCGTCCCCGGATACGGCCACGCCGTTCTCCGCAAGACCGACCCCCGCTACGTGTCTCAGCGTGAATTCGCCCTCCGTCACCTGCCTGAGGATCCACTCTTCAAGCTCGTCAGCCAGGTTTACAAGATCGCTCCTGGTGTCTTGACCGAACACGGAAAGACCAAGAACCCCTACCCCAACGTTGATGCTGTAAGTTTGAATGCTATATTTCCCCTAAAATTGAACAATTCTAACATGGAATAGCACTCTGGTGTTCTCCTCCAGTACTACGGCCTGACCGAGGCCAGCTACTACACCGTCCTCTTCGGTGTCTCTCGTGCCCTTGGTGTCCTTCCTCAGCTCATCATCGACCGCGCCCTCGGCTCCCCTATCGAGCGTCCAAAGAGTTTCAGTACCGAAGGCTACGCCAAGCTCGTCGGCGCAAAGCTGTAAATTATATACCTTACAATCATTGAGCGAACCAAAAGTCGAAAGTTATAGACCGTGGAACATGGCTGTCTAGAATGACGCGCTGACAACCCATTTTCTCCCTTTTCTCTTTTGTTCACCTCCTCTTTATTTCCTTTGTCCGTTCGAGTCTGTAACTATATGAAACTATCAAGTTGTATTTTATATCCTCTTTAGTCAGACGAGTCTGTATTCCTCTCCGGTTTTTCGTAGGCCATCCATCCAATTGAGTTTGGAAAATAAAGTTACATTATGTAATTAGAATGGGAAATATATTGTTCCAAATGGCGCGCCGGGACCTCACGTTCAGCGGCCCGCCCGCATACCCAAACTTAATCTAATTTGACATCTGCTGGTGGCTGTAAAGCACTCCATGCATCATGCAGAGTTGACATCAACTTGCATGTACTTTTCTTGGGACACCGCATATACCCAATCATATTTTTTTCTGTTATTCTCAAAGCGAAATGGCAAGCCTTGGAGTATATCGCGGAAGGGCTACGACCAAGTACCAATAACTATATCTATATAGCTATCTATCACCTTATCCTGATCTATACCATCCTACATACGTACAACGCCGAAATAGGTGCTAAGACATGGTATATTGCTCGATAGAGCCGCGGAAGCTAATTGGTGCTGGGAGTTATCCCGGCGTAAAATTCCGGTTACCTGCTAAAGGAGACCTCGGTCAAGTTTTTCAACTAGAAAGCTCCATTGAAATTCCTGGCGAAGGATTAGCGAAAGGGCAATTTGGTTCTAGGATAAAAAAAAAAAAAAAAAATAGTATTTGGGCCTACCGAGGAGGAGAAGCAGGGTTTGAAATCAGGAATAGTAACATATGGGTGCGGCAAACGTCAGCTGTAGGATTCGAACCCACATACACCCTCATCTTGTACGCAACAAGGCGCAGAGACTCTGAGCGTGATACCAGATGGTCGCCACAGACCATCAGCTGACAAAAAAAAGGGGGGGTGGGTTGAACACATATAGACGCGATGACTCCAAGCCCGAAGGCTCGGTCAAACTATAAGTCTGAAATATATTAGGTCCGAAGCCCCATAGAACCAGGTCCGAAGCCCCAATTGTCCAATATGTTCAACCCGTTTTGTCATCGCACCCACGTAACCGATGGCACAAACCAAAGGATCAGTGGTCCTCGATATAACACGAGTATATTCCGCTAACGTCTGTTATACGGGTTTGGTATTGTCAACTGGAGAAGCTCTCGCCTTAGCTTGTACGCGTTGTCTGCTGCTGCGTCGGAGGGCTCCTTGGCAATTTTGTTCGTCGCGGTAGTTACTGAGAGAGCTTTCGGCCCAATATTTGTATTCAGCGGGAAGTTGATCCCACGTCTCCAAGCATCCGGCTTGGTCCACTTCCTGTGGCTGTAGGGTATGTAGCGTAGCCCAGCAGCCTATGATCATAATGAAAAACTCACAACCAATCCTTGAGACGTAAGCTACGCCGTTAAGAAAGGCGTCGTTTTCCCTAGACCCAAGGTAGCATGCTGCAATAGCATCCATCGTGTGAGAGACAAAGGTACTTACCAATCTAGTGACACGGGCTTTAGTGGTACTCAGTTGCGGGATTTTGGCAATGGCCAGTTGCAGCACCATGCCACCGCAGCAAAAAAGTTCTCCGAGCCAGTAGGGCCAGTTCCAGTGACCGCCACTTTCCATAAGGTCAAGGGCCGGTTTCCGCAGTAAGGCGAACAGAAATCGACAGAAGATCGCCAGAACCCACAAGGCCGGGGGGCATTCCATCTTAAACCCCTTTTGAGCATCTTGATAGAATAGTTCAGCAAAGTACTCCTTACACCTTGCCTTTTCGAATGCATGATTCTCCTGTCTTTGACGGCATGCATTAATGTAGCTCTTCACCTGCTCTGATTTCAACCATTGATCCATGATCTGGATATCGCGTCTAAGTAGGAGCAAACATTAGCATAAGCATGCTGCAAGCTACGGCTTAGAGAAGCGAACTTGCTATATCCTGGAGCCATCTTTGATTCAGTGATCTAGAAACCTGGTTCCGAGGAACGTGATATTTGAGAAGAAAATTGAGAAGAGTCTGGGGAAGAAAGTCTTGAGAAAGTCTTGAGAAAGAGTCTTGAGAAAGAGTCTTGAGAAAAGAGTCTTGAGAAGAAAAAAACTCGCGTCAGTTTCGAGCCACCAGGTTAGTGCCCCTTTCCATCACGCTCAGTCACGTTTTCTGTCCTATTGCGGCAGGTGCGTATAGTTTGATGCAACACTTTCAGGCTCAGCAGTGAGCAGGACAGCTGGCTGGGCACGAGAACAAAAAGAAAGTGAAGAAGAGGTATCAAGACACGGCATCTTAATATATCCATCGTTTCATACTTTTAAGAAATACATCAAGAGTGGCGAGAATTTCGAGGAAAGCCACCCACGGCCATTAAGTAGACATAAGTGGTGGCCTAAGGCCTTCAAGCGGCGAATAAAACAGCGATAAGATCGAAGGGTATCAGGGTATAATTACAAAGTTTGAACTCGAAAGTAAACTGACCATCCTTAGCATAAGGCATTCCCATATTTATCCACATGCCACTTTTGCATGGCAAGGGCAGTCTCTACGGCGAGCGCTTCGCTGTCATCGATGGAGTCAGCTTGCTCTTCGATAGAGGGGAAGCCCGTCAAAAAGGGGAACTCCTTGGATAGGCTGGTCCAATCTGACCATCTTTCAACCACTCTGTCATATGTCATTTTCCCCTGGGCCTGGATAGTAAGAGGGAGACAGAGGACGGAAGATGGTGGTACTCCACCATGTTCATCGTATAAAGCCTGCCTAAATTTTTTGATCACAGTGATGATGTCTGTACGATCTGGATACAGGTCCCGAACGTCATCTTCAAAGCCATCGATGACATGCTCAATTCGCAAGGCGCTTCTAAAAGCCTCCGCTTCTCGGGTCTCTTCGGTCGAGGGAAAACTTGCTGAAATCCACTCGCTGATAAATTTGCAAACGCTGTCCATAGTTGCGGTAGTGCAATACGTGCTGATTATCAGCGGTACCAGGAGTATGATACTGTAAAGATGGTCAACGGTGGACAGCAAGTCATGTTTAGTTAGTGTTCTATGTTTAAATGACAACTAGGGTATCGGGGGGACACGACATGAAGATTTGTGGGTACCAGCTGAGCACTTACGAAACCGAGGGCTCGTTTAGCCTGTTGTGTCGTGTTTACAGGAGTGCATAGGAGAGGTATCCCCCTAATATAATAAAATATAATGATATAGTTGGAGTTGGAGTTGGAGTTCGGAAGTCGTAACGTCATTCAGCAGAAGCTGGATCGGCGCTAGAAGCATCACGTGATTTATCATAACTAAACCTTATTCCATCTTTGGCATAAAAAATAAACGACGCGCATATTTTCACTTTACTCCAGATACTATATAAATATCAAGGGCGTCCAGTTGATCCGCTGAATATACCCAAAAATATCAAGAACCTATATACCATGCCAAAATTTCACCCTTTGTATAATCTGAGGAAATATAGATTAAAAAGGGAGGAGAGACAACAAGAAGAAGGCTATGCTAGGAGCATGTTCATTAAATCATAGCAGATCCAATTTACTGCGTCTTTATCTCAGCTTTACAGCTTGATGTCTCTCTTAGATACCCCTGAGAATAGAACATAGGATTATATCTTTGATTACAATTGCACTTGTCTAGTGGTTGATATAATCACTAAGCGGCACAAAGGACATGGAGCACACAGCAGCTCGTTCATAAAGTAAGCAGGATATTTTATATCTAGTTCGAGGGTACAGGACAGGCCCAAAGGGGTTAGTGCCAGCCCTAGCTCCCTCCCAGCCACTCTGCCCAGCTCTCACTTCTTTGTTTATTTTCTTTTCTTTCCTCTTTCTTTCTCTCTCTTCCTTCCTTTTTTCTTTCCTCGTCCGAACATTTCATATTCGAGTAAGTACCCTTATACACGCTTTAAATGCGTTCAAACAGCTGTGACTAACTCATTACTACCTACTCTTCGCGTATACAGGAAATTTCGACAATGGTACGTGTTTCTTATATCATTTTTCTTATCTCATTCTTGGGAATAACAAACATAGTTGGATTGATGTGGCTAATATTCGATTTGCATAGACTTTCCACGCGAAGAACGTGACGATCTACAGCTACCCTGCCAACAGGCATGGCCGCGGTCGTGGAGGAGCGAGAGGGAGGAGAGGCAGAGGAGGAGGGAGAGGAGGGGGTGGGGGACGCGGGGGCCGTGGCGGGGGTTGCTTGACGGCGCCTCCAGGTCGACGGAGGAGGAGGAGAGGAGGAAGGAGGCCGAGAGGCAGCGGCTTCGAGGCCTTTCGCAGGAAGAGAAGGCGGCGGAGGCTGCTCGTCTCCGCAGGGAGATTGAGCTCGTCAGGAGGCGAATCCTCTGGAAAGAGGAAAGGATTTCGGTCCTTGAGGAGGGCGTTGATGCGTCCGGCGCCCAGCAGGGAGCCGAACAGTTGACGCCTTCTGGTGACCCTGCCCCTGAGTCTGTCAGCGCTCTTCCTGACTCCTCTCCTGCCTAGGATGGTGAAGGCTCTGGTGGTGCTCTGGTCCGCCGCATGACGTGTAATGCGGCACTTCTCCATGTTTTCCTTTGTTATGGCGTTTGGGCGTTTGAGCGTTTGGGCGTTCTGTTTTACCTAGGCAAGACTTGCACCTCTACGTGGTGTCTAGGACCAGTAGCCAGCTGTCTGGCGAAGCCAAGCAAGTCAAAGTACTACCTTCTATACAGCTGCCTACTACTTGATGGGCTTCCAATTCAGCAGAACTCAGTTGACTTTCGCTTAGGCTTCGTGGCATCATCATTTCTAGCCTGCTTTACTGGAAACCTAAGTAGTGATGGTGATGGCTTTAATAAGGTCCGATGTCAAGGAATCTTATAGTTTTTCTTCATTTCTACTTATATTCACTATTATATTATGCAGAGAGGCATAGAGATGTCAAAATTTGTTAGAGAAGCTGCATATAGATCCGTCATAGCTAATCACAATTACACAGAAGTGCTACAAGGGCTTTCCTCATGAAGTACTTGATATATAAAATCAGCGGTAGTTATATGCTCCACTCAGGGTGATCAACGCGGCCGACTCCCCACGCTAACCCAGGCCAACGACGGACTATCGGCAAGGGAACTTTGGCAAAGTCTGAGTCTCTCGATAATTATACTTAGTAATTGCATGCATAGCAATAAGCCTTAGTTGCCTAGGACCTAGCTGACACTCCCCTGTTGAAGTGGTGAGAATGGAGTCTATATCTATCGATAGCCTCTTAAGGATGAGCAGCTCATCGCATAGAACACCAACCGACTTTCGTCCTCTGCCTCGTATTTCAGCAATAATCATAGTCGTGTCCGATATAAGTAGATACAAGTAGATTGCTCCCCTTAGGCGAGCTGTTGAGGAAGAAAAGCTCCGTTTATCGCGGCTCTGCAGGCGCATTTGTTGAGCGCCTAACGCTAAAACACCCCAACCAGGCCCGCTAAAACGCAGGCTCTCACCGCTTACATAAGCTCATCACAGGCCAAAACCGCCCGCGGTCCCTTTCCAGGAGGAAGAAGAAAAGAGAGAAAAAGGTCCGAGTATTCAGCTGCTTTTTCCCCCTTCCCGGCTTCGTCGTCTTCATTTTTCTGCTTCATCTCGCTTTCAACTCGGTCATCTCTTTACTGTCAATCACTGTCTCCAGAGAAGCAGGACGAAGAAGAAAAAAACTTCACGGTAAGCTTTTCCCCTTACTTAACTCTTGCCGGAGCTCTTCGTTCCATGGGCGGCGGTGCTTGTGCTTCGTTGCGGTCCACTGGCCCCTGTCCGCAACGGAGCATATACCGCCGCAGTAGAAAGGCGCTTCATTGTCTTCGGTGGCTTGTGAAAGACGCCGTCAGATAGCACGGTTAATAGGCTGGCCTCGACTAACGCGCTGTTGTTGATACTTAATAGGTGCCCTTGAGTCGTTGTATATTCGGAGACCACCTGCAGGAACAGCAGCAACAGCAACAGCCTTGGTGCTTCTAGATTCCTTCGCCGCAATATATACATACCCAGTCAAAGTCCCAACGGGTATACTCCGTCAGCTCCAGCTAGCCGCCCTCAGATAATTTAAATAAGGCGTCCTCCACCCCGATAAACATCAATCTTTCTTCCCTTGGTCAGGGCCCCTTTCAGCATCTCAGTATCCAAGATGTCCGCCTCAGGCCAGAATAAGATCGAGAAGAAGCCCGTCAAGTTTAGCAATTTGCTACGTAAGTGCAGTCCGCGCGAGAAGAGAAGAGTGGAATGAAGATTGCTATTATTATTGTTTTTCCCTTTACGCACTGTGATTTGATGCTGATGGATTGAGAATTTTAGTTGGCGCTGGCCTGAACCTGTTCGAGTACGCTCCCCCGCCTATATATGCCCACCTTACGTGTGTCAATGGCTGTACAGTGCTGACGAACGATTAATTGAAATAGGGTTACAACCCTCGGCCAGCCGTTGGAAGTCATCAAGACTACAATGGCTGCTAACCGGTCAGATACCTTTGCCGGTGCCATGGGTCGTATCTGGGGTCGTGGTGGCATCCTTGGATGTAAGAATTGCTTCTCTTTCATACACTCGCTTGTATAAATACCGACGTTTTCTATAGACTACCAAGGTCTCATTCCCTGGGCCTGGATCGAGGCCTCTACCAAAGGTGCTGTCCTTCTCTTCGTGGCTTCCGAAGCAGAGTACTATGCCAAAACTTTCGGCGCCAATGACTTCATCGGTGGAATCAGCGGTGGTATGGCCGGTGGTGTTGCCCAGGCCTACGCTACCATGGGTTTCTGCACATGCATGAAGACTGTCGAAATCACCAAGTCCAAGATGGCTGCTGCAGGCGTCAAGCCCCCAAGCACCTTTGCTACTTTCATGGACATCTACCGCCGTGAAGGTATCCGCGGAATCAACAAGGGCGTCAACGCCGTCGCCATTCGACAGACTACTAACTGGGGTTCTCGATTCGGTCTCTCTCGTCTTGCTGAAATCGGTATTAGAAAGGTCTCTGGAAAGGAGGACGGCCAGAAGCTCAACAGTTTTGAAAAGATTGCTGCCAGTACCATCGGTGGTGGCTTGTCGGCCTGGAACCAGCCTATTGAGGTTATCCGTGTCGAGATGCAGAGCAAGACCGTTGACCCAAACCGTCCAAAGAATTTGACTGTCGGCAAGGCCTTCAGCTACATTTATAGCCAGAACGGCATCAAGGGTCTTTACAGGGGTGTCACTCCTCGTATTGGTCTTGGTATCTGGCAGACTGTCTGCATGGTTGCTCTTGGAGACATGTATGTTCATCTTTAATTTCCATTACTTGTCTGTCTCATATTCATTTTACTAATTCGTCGACTCTAATAGGGCCAAGGAAGCTGTCGAGAAACTAACTGGAGAAAAGGTCACTGCCAAACATTAAGCTGCCAGCAGCTTATCACGGTCTTGAACTGCAAAAATATGTTCTTCTTTCCTTCTTTATTCATCTCGTTTCCATTTTCGCCATATATCTTCCAGCATGTTGTATTAGCTATAGAAGTAATGTGTTCTTTGCCCCCCCTTTCTTTCTCAGGTTTCTGGCTTTCATAAGAAAACGTCCACGAAGTTACTGTCGTCGATACGAATGTGGGTAGAAAAAAAAATGTGTCATTACTTCCTTCGTGTATGTCATTTCTTGCCCATCTATTTATTAATCTGGGGAAATATTTCAAAGCAGTTCAAGCTTTATAATCTCAGTCGTGCATAGCAACAAAATACCATAGTTGATGAGTACACCATGAGGAAGAGTAAAGATGAAAAACACTCGGATTCTTCTTTATATAAGTACATTTACTAGAGGACAAACAAAAGAGAACAAAATGGAGAGTGACGGAGAAGATGGAGGATAGGGAAGAGAGCACAGGAAAGAAGGAAAAATGCCACCTATCTAACTCTCCCTTTTTTTCTTTCTCTTCAACTATTTCAACTAGTATAGTAACATCAAAAAAGTTACGCTGAGTCTATTGTGTGTGTAGGTGTGGTTTTTAGGAGTTCAGCGATTGTGGTTGAGAAGTACCTGTTCCTTGGGGGTATATTTACACAGTGAGACCGAGGTCGGCAGCATATGGGAGAGAGAAGAGTTCTCCGACGGTAGCAACGGAGGCCTTGTTGCTTAGGAGGGATTTGGCAGCCTGGTAAGTCATTGTTAGTTGAGTATCTACAAGAAAGATATCACTTGATTGTCAGAATGGTAAACTTACAGCCTTGACCTGGGCGTCGGTGACCTTCTCGATTCCCTGTGCGTTAGCAACAATGCTGAATGGCTTGCCACCATGGATGAGAGCAGAGCCAGTAGCCTCGCTTCCGGCGGTAAGGCTGGATCCGGCATCAAGCACATTGAATCTGGCAAGGGCAATGGCCTTCTTGACGTCCTCGGCAGCAACGTTGCCTGCAGCGACGTTGTTCAAGGCATCAACAATAGCCTTGGCGGCCTGAGAGACACGGTCGGCAGCCTGGCCAGAGATAGTGATATGGAACAATCCAGCGTCACTGTAGGCGGACTGGTTGGTGGAGACGCGGACGCCAGGGAAACCTTCAGCAGCCTTTGCGAGGATGGAAGATCCAGTAGACCATTTTATGCTGGACTCTCCACCCAGGAGGGTGGCGAGAACGGCGAGCTCTGGTTTGTATCCAGAGGCGCCGTAGGCGCTGGAACCAGGGAAAGCAATGACAATAGCATTTCCGGCCTGGCTGGAGATTCGTTGCTCTCCTCCAAAGTACTTGGTCTGCTGGGTGGCAGCTGGGGCGAGAGGACCGGAAGCAGTGGAGGTAGGAAGCTCATTGAAGAACTGGCCAATCCATTTGGATAGCTCAGCAGAGTTGGAACCGCTGGAGACAACGGCAATAGATGGCTTGGTGTAGACACCCTGTGCAAAGGAGGCAACACCCTCAGCAGACACATACTTCTTCAGTGGAGTAGCAGCTGGGATGGTGAGTGGGTTTCCGAGTCCTTGATGGAAAGCAAGGGTATGCGCAGCATCAAGAGCCTGAGTCGATGGAGACGCAGCAATGTTGTTCTGTGAGGCTTTGATGAGGTCGAAAATAAGCTCGTTGAGTTCGTGGGCTGATATATCAATCGATGTTTAGTTATCCTTTCTGAAACGAAAACAGAAACAAGACGAGCAATTGAGCTTTCTTACTGCAATACTTGGTCTGCGAGACAACTTCTCCCAAAAGTTCAGCATAGTATGGCAGATCGTTGTTGAGGAAGCGGGCAGAGAGAACAAGGTTCTCTCTTGATCGGTAGCAGGAAAGCTGGCCTCCGAGAAGCTCGTTCTCACGGGTGATTCGTAGGGCCGAACGCTTGAGAGTAGACTGCAATTGAAATCCAATCCATCAGCCAATGCCTCCGCAATGAAAAATAAACACGATAGCCCTTCTGATTGATAGGCAATCGACGCTTTTCTGGAGGTTCCGGGCTCACCTTGAAAGCAAATTTCTCCAATGCCTCAGAGTAGCCGGGCAATGGTTCGTATCTGGAACCGGCCTTAGCAACCACGGTAAGGGTGGTAGTTGGTCCAGAGATCTCCCTGCTGGCAAGCTTCACACCAGCACTCTCACTAGTCTCAAATTCGAGACCGGCCTGCGATGCCATGCCTCGTACGGTGGTCTGTTGATAGCAGCCATTGCGCCAGACGCGCGCGGCGGTCCGGCCAAGGGAAGCTCGCGGAAGCATCATTGCCTTCTGTGTCGACGGTGAGTACAGCCGGGAGAGGGAGAAACGGGCGGGCTGAAGCCGGGGGGATGGTTGTTCGGGTGTGGCTGTCGTGGTCTTGATATACCAGAAGGAGTGAAGAAGTCGACGTTCGCCTTTCTGGGCCAAAAAAAGCTTCCGGTCACTCACGAAATGGGCTAAATGCGGACATTCTGATTGGTCAACTTGACGACACTCTTATAAGTCACGTGGTGGTGCTTTTCGTGTCACGTGAAGATGGTCCCGCTTGTTGCAAGAAGAAGAAAAAAGGCAGAAAAAGACGAAGAAAGAAGAAGAGACGACGAAGGAGGCCAGAAAACGGGAAGAAAAGCGCAGCAGACGAAGCAGCGAGGGTGCGCTTGGAGTGTGTTATGCGTGGAATGCTGATGACTGCTCATTCGTGACCTTTGAGAGCTTCTAGAGTGGCATCTCTCTAGAAGTCATAGTCATACACAAAAAAAAAGATGTCGCAGGTGAGTGAGCTCTTTGGGACTCAATAGACGAAGGGAAGCGGAGGCTGACGATCATTTTAGTATGCCGCGGAGCTATGTACGCTTCTGATTGCAGATAATTTTGGAGAATTATACTCTGTATGCGCCTAGTCTTTACAGCATGGGGCCAACAATGTGCGTGTGACTGATATATCTATGTATAGTTGATATTCTCCTACCTTGTCCACCATGGACGGCAACCGCTCATGAGAATAGTCCACAACACACATCTTTCGCCTCGACAAGTTAAACACGGTCTAGCTGTCCTCATCCAGCAGCAGCTTATCTTCCACTATACCGGTTTCGAGGACGGCGTCTCATACTACCAGGCGAATTGGCGGGCTGCATACTTGCTGGTGCGGTCTGGAAGTATCTTGCAATTGACAAGGGAGCGGCTGGGGGATTATGCCGCAAAAGTGGTGTCGACAATTCTTTCCCTGGGACATGTCAAAATAAGCCATCTCGAGAGCCTGCCGGAGCTTCAGCCAGCTCTTCTGCGCAATGGAGCCCATGAACCCAACGGTGTAAACGGTGACCACTCACTTGAAAATGGAGATGAGGAAACTATGGAGAATGGTATGGAGGATGGTGTGAACGGAGACGCTGGGGCCTTTGATAGTACAAATGGAGAGGGAAATTCTCGGCTCAACTCTACACTTCGCGAGCTTGCTGCTTATGGTTACATCATGCGAGTGAAGGATGTCCATTTTCAATCACCATCTGATCTACGGGAATCGGCTAGGAGAGCGGTCAAGGCCAGTGGTGAAACAGAAGGGCTAAAAGGGAAAAAGCTTGAAGAAAAAATTGAGGAGAAGGCGGAGGTCATGCTTCAGGAATGGATGGATGGGACCATTGCATATGGCTTAATTCCCCGAAATATCACCAGGGGCATAAAACGGCGAGCCGCAAATGGGGCTTCGGAAGGCCCGCGCAAGCGGCCGAAGCTTGATGAAGCAGTCGAAACGGACAACTATGACATATCAGAAGATGAGGATGATGGTGATAGTGATATAACATTGGACGTAAGTGGCAGCTTAGCCTTCTATAACCCTAAAGTCCTTAAGCTAACTGTGATTGACAGAGTAATATGACTATCCGGATCAATTATGAGCAATTCAATGTTGCTCTCCGCAATCAAAGGCTGATTAAGTTGGCTGACCAGGCAACCTCGCATGTCACTTCACAAGTATATGAAATACTACTATCTCGGATTGAACTTAAGACTCGGAAGTGCCGCCAGCAGGATGAGCCTGTTCTAGAAGGAGAAGAAGGGCAACATTACTCTGTTCCGATCCCTTTACATACCATAGTTGATGATCTTGACCCCAACCTGGATCTCCTCAGCAGTGTTGCGGGTATATCTGCGACCAAACCAAAGCAGAATGGTCTGGAAAATGGCCATGGCGGGGATGACGAGGATGAGGATGAAGACGATTTTGATGAAGAGGACGGTGAAGGGAATGCGCAATCGAAAGCTCAAAGCCGTGTTTTCCAAGTCGCACAGCATCTTTCTCTACTCGCTTCAGAGCCCTACCATTTTTCTACGCGGAGGATGGACTCGGGGATCATCACATGGGCTGTGGAGTTCAGACATCTTGCTCGAAAGCTACGGCATCTTGAAATCGAACGGCTCGTTGAATCTCGGTACGGCAGTGTTGCTGTACGAGTTCTCCGTGTTCTAGCAGATAAGGGGAGATTAGACGAGAAACGGTTGCAAGAAATAAGCTTGATGCCCTCCAAGGATCTACGGCAGATACTGGCACGGCTGCAATCTGGCGGGTTTATCGACCTGCAAGAAGTTCCTCGGGATGCCCAACGGCAGCCCTCTCGAACAATATACCTATGGTTCTACGATGCTGACCGAGTGGTCATGATGCTTATCGAAGATACCTACAAGAGTATGGCCAGATGCCTGCAACGCCTGGCCTATGAACGAAGCAAACTAAAAGCACTGATTGAAAAAGCTGAACGATCTGATGTGAAGCGTAACATGGAGCGGTATCTCTCTGCCTCTGATATGGCTGCACTCCAGGAATGGGAAGCAAAGGAGACCTTACTCCTAGGCGAAGTTGCAAGGCTGGATGAACTTGTTGCTATCTTGAGGGACTATTAGAAACTCCAGCCTATGTACTTATTGTCCTCATAGCCTCTTCGACTGGTCCTCTTCGGGCCTTCAGCGAGGCTCTTTTGCACTTGCGAGGGCTGCATTCGGACCCTGGAGGTGCTGCCACCTATTGATACGATATAATGATGGATATCTTACTTGTTATATTACTTTTTATCATGCATGTATATTATGTGCTATCAGCCACTTTTGATCACTCTAAGTAACCAAGTTCCATGGTACGCATAAATGTTAACCAAAACCTTCGCGCATGATGTCTATGTCATAATTCTACCTTGGATTCTCACTTATATATTTGATATTTACTATATTTTTATATATATATTCCCATATTTATATCTCTTATTATTGTGTGCGTTGGCTTCAACCCTCATTGTAACCTGTAACCAACTAACCTGTAACCAGAGCCGCTAGCATGGTTGGGGCTTTTCAAAGCTCCTACTCCTTGCCCCTTGCATCACCATCATGAACTCAGGCAACCCAACACCAAGAAACGATTATTTCACGACTTCACGCAACCCCAGACGAGACTACGACTACGACTACGACTACGATTACGGCGCATCGAATAATGGGTCAATGAATTCGCCTGCGGGATATGGCCGGGGGCGCGAGGGGCGCGGAGGAGGATATGGAGGAGGGACCTATCTTGAATCGCCCTCGCCCGGCGACTCAATGGAACAGCTGTCTCCCCAGATATCCGTGCGGTCTCGGGGTCGCGATATAGACGATGGTCCCTCATGGGGTGGTCGCAAAGATGAAGGCCGATTTCGAGGAAGCGAAAGACAGAGACGGGAAGAGAATGCGAGGCAGAGGAGTGCCAGTCGCAGCGGACGAAGCGGAGGTAGCGGCCGAGAAATCAAGGGAGGGGAGGAGATCGATGGTATGTTCCCCATGAAGCATTTGGCGGCATCCAAAGGAAGAGTCATGTCTTGCTAATTACTTGTTTGAACTTGCTATCAGGTGTTGTTCAAGCTATCGAAGACGAATGGGACTTTATGGCGGACAGCGAGTGCATCCCCGTTCAAGTTGGCCTACAATTGATGGACACAAGTACCCTTGGTCGCGCAGATAGAGAGCCGGAGTTTTTACAAATACATCAGCGGATCCAGCATGCGTTGCGGTCTGTGGTCAATGGTGGGTGATACATCTTCTTGATGCGCTTGCAAAGGGCAGCCGGGTTGACTATCCTTATAGAGCATCACCACGGGTTCAACAGTCTCCTCGGGACGTACCATAACATCCAGGGTAGTCTGCAAAGCTCACAGCACCAAATCAGAACTCTTAAGGCCGCCCTTTTGGAAGCTAAAGCCAGTTTGCTTACTATGAAGCCGGAGTTGAAGGAACAGGCAATGGCATCGCAGTCCTACGATGAAATCCTACAGCTTTTCGAGCTGATTGAACATGCTCAATCCCTCCCAGAGAAGCTAGAAGCTCGGATGTCGGATAAGAAATTTATTGCAGCGGTTGATATCCTCAAAGAAGGGACTGCGCTCCTTCAACGCCCCGAGCTTGCCGGTATAGGTTCCCTAGGAGACCTTCGGACCTACTTCAGCAACCAAGAAACTTCTTTGACTGATATCCTTGTCGAGGAACTGCATGACCACCTGTATCTGAAGTCCCCGTACTGCTGTGACCGGTGGAAGCCCTCGTCCGACAGAGATGGTGCTTCAGCTAGTGCCAGTGGAACTTCTTGGGAGAAGCCCTTTTATCAATATCTGTCATCTTTGGATGCAACTACACACTTTGTGGAGGATATATCTCGCAACCCAGAGACAGATACGTTTTATTACATCCATCTTTTATTGGAAGCTCTTCATAAAATGGGGAACCTGGACGTTGTTGTTGATCGGATAGAGCAACGTCTTCCTGTCGAGCTGTACAGTGTTGTCGATAAAACAGGCGCTGAGGTAAATAACAGCCATCCTAATTTTCAAAAGGATACTCGAAAGCCTGGGCCAGGAGCAGTCGCCGATTCCGCGTCAGAGCGAAGGCATCTGTTGTCAGAATTTCTGTGGAATTTATATGCCAAGTTTGAGACAATTGCGGAAGGTCATCGCCTCCTTTATGAAGTTATCAGTGGCATTGTCAAACGAGACAAGCTTGCAAATGAGGTTCACTTGACCAGCAGCTTCCAAGAGCTATGGAAATTGTATCAAAGCGAGGTATGTACGCCATATATCAAATCGGCAGTGGTAATACTAATGTCTACGCAGATGCGATCTCTACTTCATGACTATCTTTCCACAGACGGAGCCGAGTCTTTTAGAGCCACTACTAGAGCAACGGATAACGGCTACACCCATTCTTCTGTCAAGCGCGATAAAACAAAGGTATAAAACCTCTGGATTTTGTCTCGAACTCCTACCAAACCACCACTAATTCTGTTTCTAGAAACTCTTCAAAATGTCCGAAGTCGACCAGGCCGCTTCTGATTTGAAAGCAGAGCAAGATGAGCTGGCCGAGATCCTGAGAGCCTCGGTTCCCGGACTTGTGCCTAAATCACGCCAGATGTTTTCGACCAGCGATAACAATAGCTCTAACCAACAAAATTCAGGGACTGGCCATAAGCTACTCATTGAACCTAGTGTCTTTAATATCAGCTTGCTCCTACCTCCTGCCCTTTCGTTTATCCACCGGCTCAAGGAGATAGTTCCCCCCAGCTCCGACATCGCGGTTGGCGCACTTACGTCTTTCCTCGATGAGTTCTTGATAAACGTTTTCCAACCTCAGCTTGATGAAGCTGTCAGCGAGCTCTGTGCCATCAATTTCATTTCTATGGATGCTTACACTGAGGATCCTCAATGGGCCTTGCACTCTCCTCGGCCAATTTTCAGAGTAAGGAACTCTTGTCTTTTGTGGGTTTCATTGACTAGGTTGTGGCCTGACTTTTTTGACACTTTTAGGGAACCATAAACTTCATGAATTTAATAAAAACGTTTAGCCGGATGTTGGATAGTATACCCCACGATCAAGCTTTCACGCAATTGATAATTGATCAAATCATTACTTACTACGAAAAGTGCTGTGGCTGGTATAAGGGTAAGTGTGACAACTCTCCCAGTGTATCTGCGATAGGTTCTAATGAAGCCCGTACAGCCCTTATGACTCGGATATCACCTAACCATCCTGGTGGTGTAGCCCTAAAGACTTCAGCGGCATTTGCAGAGTCCCAGGATATCCGCGAAGTTGGACGAAAGCTATGGGAATGCTCTGCTAGTGAGAAACAGTCATTAATCAACAGGGTTGGTATTCAAATAAATCAGTTTTGAGGTCAGACGCTAATTCTATGTAGGAAATAGAGCTTCTTCTCTCTGCAACCAATGAAACCTCACTGAAAGGTTATGACATGGTAGCTGATCCAAAGATAGTTGGATCATTGTCACTGCTCTATAATAGCATGGTAAACTCTTCCCTTGTGCTTTGCAGGCTGTGATATCATCTGACCCTTTAATTTAGAACTGGCTATCGAGTAACCTGTCCAAACTGCGCCACATCACTCCCCATCAAACAGATTCGAGCCATATCCAATCAAGACAGGTAGCGCCTACTCGACGTTGGACTCTAGAGGCGGCGATGAGACCGAAACGTGGTGATCTCGAACGTCCTCTGCGTCTTCCTATGACTAAAGAGTCTGTTGTGGGTTTCGATGGTGCTGTTACATCAATTCAGAACCTAGCATTTACGGCCATTTTCACCTTACACCTCGATATTCGATGTGGATCAATATACATGATATCCCGAGCATTAAAAGGAAAAAATGATGGACAGCCACAGGAGCCGAACCGAAATTCCTCGACCGAAAACAACTGGTCTTATATATTAACGGTCGAACCAACATCTGCTTCGCCTATCGTGCTTGAATTAAACAACGACCTTATTTCGTTTGGTGCTAGAATGTCCAACTATCTGGGACCAAATGAATGCCGATATATCACATCTTGCCTTTCAAGACTCATAGACCGTGCACTGGTATCCAGCACTCGTTTTATCGGTGCAATGAACAGTTACGGAGCTTTGAGACTTCAGCTTGATGTCCTTGTGCTTCAACAGAATCTGAAGAATATCATCGTTGTTTCCCCTTCCCCAGTATCATCCAAGAGCAGCCTATCGTTGGACAAAGACGTTGCTGCTTCTATGCCCGAAGTAGTTGCACTCCCACAAAGTGCCAAGTTCCTGGACTGGTTCCTTGAAGGGCCTGGCAAGACATTACGAAATGCAAAGGAAGAAAGAGATATGTTTAAGGAGATGGGCAGCCAAGTCTTGACGGAAGGCAACGGGGAGCCGTTTACATTTGATGAGTTGAGGGTGTTGATTGAGCTATGTTACTCTGCTGCACTCAAAGGTCCTCAGGGGCCTGAGGCGAGAGAAGAGTTCATGGCAGCTAAGCGTGGGCTTGACGATTCATTACTTAGATTAAGTGAGGTTATGTGGGATGCTTGAACTACCTGCTAACGGATCATTTGCCTTTATCGCCCTTGACCTTGTGTACATATATTGGCTAGATTTCATCTTGGTAAAAGCTGATTTGGTGAAATCGGATACTAATCACCCACGACGTCTAAGATATCTCGTTAAGCTCACTCGGCCGTTCCAATCTAAGCTTTAATTATATCCTACCACACCAGAACTGGTGCCTTCAGCCAATGGTAAAGAGCCATTCCTTGCTTAAGAGTGGGAATCCCGTCTTTCCCTTGAGCCATTACCACTGGGCCTAAACGGGCCGCAAACCATGCACGCTCTGCACATTCTTTGGACGCGGCAGCTCCAGTCACTCCGGCCCAAATAAATACCCTTGGAGCAACCTTCGACCATGTCGGGATGTCCATCTTTCCCATAGCCACTTTAAGATCTTTACCATCAGCTGGTATTGTGTCTTCAGTAGAAAAGATACCTTTATTGTTGACTAGGCGCCAATGCAGCAATGCTGTCTGACGACAGCATTCATTTATGTAAACTTCCGCAGATGAGTCCGAGGAAGAGTTGATGGTATTGTCTCTGCATAGAGATGAAAATTCATCATGGAGATGGATGAATTTTTGAATGAAGGAGGGAGCTATAACATCTTCCACAGATGCACTGGGTAGATTATCAATTAACAACATTGATTGCTGTACAAGTCCTAAGATATTAGCCGAACTTTGACTGGTGGGCGATGTTTTATGTGCGGAAGTCTCCCATGATAAAACGTTGGATAGTAGGGCCATTGGTGGAGGCGTAGGATTTGTGGCCCATTGGAACGACTGTTCAATTCCATAGAGAAGACAGTCCATGGTATCACCCCTACAGGAGTTAGTATCGTGGGAATGGATATATATCCCTTAGTTAATGACGGAGTTCTTACACATATATCAACTCAGCAAGTAGACCATCCATCCCCAAGTTTTCGGGGCCGCCTTTAATCTTCACCAGGTGATGTAATCCAGCTCTATGTACCCCAGAGACGCATACATTGCCAGAGAGAGCCTAGGCATTAGGAATGAGCAAATCTGTTTGCCCTTAAAGTCAATAATAGCTAAGGAGGGGTATCACTCACCTCGGTCTGAGATAGAGCCATTGTTACTGCAATCAAGGCGTCAGTGACCTGTAGGTTAGGTACTGCAAGTTGGCTACTTAGCAGCCTAAGGGTCTCCGTCTGGTGATATAGAGTAATAACATTGCCGCTTTGCCCTCGAAGTAGGTCGAGATATGCAGATGCGGCGTATAATGTAGCATGAAACATACATTCGTCGGTCAGAGATGTTGTCATCCATATGTTTCGCAGGGTGTCAAGCTGTGTGAATGACCCATCTCCTTGCGACTGAAGTGCAATAGATTCGTTATCTATAGGTAAAATGAGATAAACTGTTTCGACGGAACAAAGGAAACGAGATACCAGACTTACAGAATCGTAGCAGTTCAGGCATATACCATTGAGATTCGACGGGGTATATTTGGGGAAGTCCAATTTCCTGGATGGATGAAGCAGTGACCAGGGACGCAGCAATTTGCATATCCTGTGGCTGGGTAAATGCACCGCTATCCTTTGTTGCAATGACATTCTCTAGAACCTGAAGTCGTTCACGTAGGACTTTAAGCTGTGAAATTCGGCTGACTCTGGGGTATGAGCATTGGAGGAGATGTCTGTCGATAGTCAGTATTATCCAAACCAGGAGAGCAATTAAGGGGCGTAGCGTACTTCCTACATGAGCTACATGTCGGCGATATCCTGTCACATCTTTTCTTCCTTCGTCTGCAGGGCTCGCAGGCATTTGAGGCCCTGGCAGGCTGGTCAGATTCGCTGGAGCCCACCTGGGGACTGCCTGAGAGGTCACTTTCCGCCATTTTGCAATTGCGGGAAGGGAGCCGTTGAGGTAAAACCGAGGATAGTGCTGGGTGTCCCTCTCGCTATATATTCATGGCCTTTCAACGTGTAACTAATGCAACTTATACTTCGTATGGAGTGGTGAGTCGTTTATATCAACCGCTCGGTGAAGATGCCTATGCTTTGCAGGTCCGGCTGATCGTCGATTTCGAGAACGAGCTAAAGGCTCCATCGGACTGCTCGGATAAATCATTAGACGCTGAGCCTCCCTGGGACAAGGCATTGGAACGATGCATAGAGTATTCCAATTGGTCCTGGGCTATGATATATGGTAGCCTTAAGAAATGGCCAATACCACGGCTGAGGGCCCAGAATAAAGGATCATCACGCCTCGCAACGCCATAGGGTATTGAAAAGCTAGTTAAGCATTGCTCAGGCTAGGGGCACCTGGTTAGTTAAGAGCTCAAGTCTCTGTCCCGAGCCTTCAACTAAGGATCCCGCAGGGCTGAGCTGGGGTTTTTGGAATCAGTTGAGTTGAGGCTTTTCAGCCCCTAGAATGACAAATACTGCAAGCTATCAAGTCAACCTGTTAGTTATATATACAACTGGCGGTGACAAATAGTTAGTGGACTCAGAATATCAAAGAATAATGCACAGGAAATTTGAAGGTCAAAAGATAATAATAATTGAAAAATCGATTCTATCTAGACTAAGAAGACTTTCATTCGTTATTCTATTCTTAATCCCTCCAGCAACCTACCAGTTAATGGTGGGATCCGAAGTCTTTGGCACATTCAAAGCTGTCCGCAGAGTTCTTATCGCCTCCTTTGTATCGGGGGACCAAAGGGTATCGACAGAGATTTCGGGTGAAAAGGGTAGTAGTACCGCTTGCATCGGTTGCAGTAGCAGGCATCGTCTCTGGAGCCTCGCCCTTCTCAACCCATCTCACCAAGACTTTCAGCGTATCAATGGGGGCTGCTCCGTCATTAACTCCAATGCCGCAGTGAGTGACTCCAGGGGCCAAGAATAGACGGTAGTAGTTGTCTACTTCAGAGCCGCCTCCCATTCGGTGTTCGACTGCCTGGCGGTATTTGATGGAGCCTTGAGGGTGAATGAGTTCGTCTGCTAGGCCGTGCCAGCTGAGGAGTTTCGTTCCGCTCTTCTTAAGGGCGGAGAGGTCGGGGTTGCTTCCACCGGCAATCTTATCAAACTCGTCGATACTCTGCTGGAACAGTTTGGGCATGTCGGCGTACGTGATGGTGGAGAGATCGAAGTTCACGTCCTTTTTCAAGAACGATCTGATCCAGGAGGAGCCGATCACGAAGGGAGCAATCTTGGGGACACCGTTCTCGATGGTGCTGTTGGCGAGTCCGACATAAGAGGCCCCTACGGGAAGGACATCCCACAAGGCGTGTTTCGCCGTAGACTTGGGACCGTCGTAGATCTTCTTCGCAACCCAGGCCTGGGCGAGGGTGATGGTAGTTGACTCTTCTCCACACTTTACCTTCTTGCCAACAAGGGCGAAGGGATTGAATTCGCAGCCGTCGAGGTTAGAAACGACGCCATCTTCTACTCCGTCCAGCTTGTCACATGCGGCAATACCGGCTTTTCTGAAAGCCTCAAAGACACATTGGGACGGGAAGACCTTCTCGCTCTGCATAACAACTTGTGGCCATTCGGTCGAGGTGAGAAATTGGGGCCAGTAGATGGCTGGAGCACCCGCAAGAATGCCGTCAAAGTCATCTGGGTATTTCTGTGCCTCCACCATTCCCTGTCGACCGCCATTGGAGCAGCCGTAGAAGTAAGAATAGTTGGCCGGCTTCTTGTAATAGCTCTCAGTCACGGCTTTTCCGACGATGGCCATGTCGTGAATTGATCGACTAGCGAAATTCTCCAGCAAGTCGTAGTTGACAGTACCGTCCTCCTTTAGGGCCCATTTATCAGCAGATCCTGGGTCAACGGTCACGCCGGCATCAGTTCCAGCAGTGGAATATCCTTCGAGGGCAGCTGGACCCATGAGCAGGTCAAATGTGCCGGCAGCCCAACCACCTCCACCTGTCGCCTGGAAACGTCCATTCCACTTATCAGGTAGAGGCAGCCATACTGAGACAACGACTTTGTCGTTGACTCCCATGTGGGAAAGGGTAACATTAACGCTGCAGATGTCGATGGTCGTGTTGGGTTTTGATGGCGAAGGCGGGAATGGAGCGACCTCGACCCGGCGTTGCACGCCTATCACAGACAGGATCTCAGCTCCCGGGACCTGAGGAGGCTGTATCGAAGCACAGTCATGATTTTCACGGACCTGAAGTGATGCAGCAGAACTAAAGACTGCGGCAAGGGGAAGTATGCTTAACAAGAGAGGGAGGGTAACCATGATGGGTGAGATATAGAAAATGTAGTTAATTCATAGGTATGCGATCTAATTTTCAACGTCGTAGCAACTGGGACCCTGAGTCCTTCTTTATATACTTCGCAAAAGCGAATGCATAAAACATAATAATGGAGGCATATACCGGAGTACTGAAAACCAGCATCGCTTTCGGGGGCTCCTTATCCGCCCCATGCAAGGTGACACGAACAGAGCGTAACAAGACTTATCAAACGGGCCGAAAGATCCATTGAATCCCTGCATGGCCATGGCTGTGACCCCCATCCTTCGAGCATGTACAGAGGGCACCCCAGCCCGCTCTCCATGTTCTCGAAGGATTTGCTACTCCAGCCTTCGTGTAGGTTGTTGTCATGATTATTCTTGGAGGATCCACCTGGACTGCCCAAGGATCGCCCGGAAGAACTCTGCCCGACAGCCACTCATGAGTTTTTCCCGATGCGTTTGTCTTGGAGCTTCTGCTGTTTGAATTTCTGCGGAGTGTCGATTTGGTGCGATATGCCGCTCCACCTGAGCACAGGAAAGGCCCTGTATCCCGGATGCGGATGCGGCGTCCCAAATGAGCGAACCGCTGCGGCTGTTGGATCGGGATATGGCTGGACGGCATGGCGTTAGGTCAGCCTGGCAATGGAAACCTCCATTATCTTCCTCGACCAGTAGCTTAATGCTCTGACATCCACGGGCTTCAGAAAGCCAAATATCACAAAACTGAGACAAAACCGACGGTTGAGGAGAGTGCTCCTCCACCACACAAGCATGCCGCCTCTCGCCGCAACTGACACCCATCTTCGCTGAGTATCTTCCATTGTTGCCCTGCAACCAGGGCTTTCCGTTTGCTGCGAGTCTCCTCTCGAGTATCACACCAAAGCGGCCCTGTCTGACGTTTTTGTGTTGTTGTCTTTGTTGCTGTTTACTCTGTACGGAGTAACTATACTCAAAGCAGCCGCGGTTGGTCCGCGGAAGCTGCGTCTGGCGCTTGTCCATAACCACGGCGGCGGGACGAAATAGCTTGATTAAACCAGGGCGAAATTCGTTTTCAACTTCCGAGTAAGGGATAATTCCACGGAGCCAACTGGTCTTAAGCCTACTCTTTCTCCTTCATTAACGAGGCTCTTCCTTTACCTATCCTCTTTATTTAACTATCCTCTTTGTTTAGCTATCTGCTCTCCCGCCCTCTTCTCTAAGCCCCTCTCACTAAGGGCTTCTCTTACTTAAGTCTCTTACCGCTATTAGGGAGAGCATACTCCGTACTTGGAGGAAGAGTATTTAGAGCATTTAGGAGGGGGAGCAGGCTTAAGGGGGAGAAGTTAGGCCGTGGGCAAAAGATGGAAAAGTGTGTCTACAAGGAAAAGGGCGCTTATGTAATGTAAATAGCATACAAAGAATACCACTTAGTAATCACGTTCTGCTCTCTTAACCAATAATATCTATTTATTCCATGATTATGTAATTAGGGTGCTGCGAGAGGAGCGCCTGGCGCTTTTTTTTTACAGACGTCATCGACATCAGCCAATAGCCAACGGCCAATCCAGGACGCCAAGCCTCGAGAGATAAGGACATGCTCGAGTCGACAACATCATAGACTTGATGATACTTAAAATAGCTGATCCGGGCCTCAAATATAACAACGCTCGAGTTAACAGAATCATAGACTGATGGCAAAATCCAAGAGTGGTAGAGAGGCAAAACGCCTTATATATAGTAAGACACTTCGCACTTTTAAAGAGCAACGAAGAAACAACAGCGAAACAGTAAGGAACAACCACACGACAACGAAGCAGTCACCCAGCAACCACCAAGCAATAAAGAAGCAACGAAACAACGAAACAACAAAGCAACTTAGCTTGTTAGTGAAAAAGCCCCTAGTATGTCGGCCAGCAACATGGTACAGGAGGTTTTCATGGACACCACTGTCCCAGTGCAAACCTCGACGGTGCAAATACCCCGGCCTGGGTTAAGTGTCTGTAGGATCCCTGCGTTCAATTGTGAAATTCTCTGCTCTCACGCAATTTCCTGCGGATACCGCCATATCAACACTTCCCAAGAATCTGGCAACGAAGCAGAAGTCGGCGAGGCAGTGCGTAAGTCTGGCATTCCTCGGCAGGAGTTCTTTCTGGCGATCAAGGTCTCGATGCAATGGTCCTCCGCAGGTGAGACCTACAGCAAAATAATAGAGAGTGTGAACAAGATTGGCGGCATGGGCGGGTACGTCGACCTCCTCTTGATACAGTCCCTCTCCCATAATGTCCAGAAGAGATGTGATATGTGGTTTACCCTGGAGCATGTGCTCAAAAAGGGGAAGACGAGACGTATCGGCGTTTGTGACTATACCCTTCTCCCTTTCCTCCAGATCGGTTCGTATTCAGACATAGGGCCACCACATGTAATTCAGCTTGAGGTAAGTTCAATTCCGCAGCTACCTTCTAAAGGAGCCATGAGATAGCTGACATTCATATACGTAGCTGAATCCGTGGAATCAGCAGAAGGAGCTCGTTCGACACTTACGGCATCATGGCGTAGTGATTGAAGCGTACTGTTCGATGACCGGAAATGCGATGATTCTTGACTTCGACCTGGTATCCCTGGCAGTGAAATACAACAAAACCCCACACCAGGTCCTGATACGGTACTCGCTCCAGAAGGGCTGGGTGCCCTTGCTGAGTAGCACGAACGTGTACCACATCACGTCCAACACAAATGTTTTCGACTTCAGCCTTACGGAAGAAGAAATGAATACTCTTGACTTGAAGGATGACGGCATGTGGGGACACTCTCGTTGGGACATACCGCATGCTTGATTCGATTGGTGTATTTTTATTATCCTTGCCTATGCGTATTCTTTCTTGAAGGCACTCTCTTCCTGCTTCTTTAGCCCACAGATTGGTGGGGCTGCTTAAAAAACTAGGCTCCAAGTGCCTTCCTTTATACCTTATCTATAAGATAAGAATTGATTGATTGAAGGGTCGACCTAGATGGATTAATGTCCTCCTTTGACATGACTATCCATGCCAGACGTTGCCGAATAAATTGCTTGTTTATTGCAAACTTGTCTCTGGGTCCACAATAAGCTCCTGTGAACCAGTTAGATATTAGTTGGACGCGCGCCAGGTTGTTTCCGGGGGCGATACCTTGATCATCGAAGAGGGAACAAAGAACCATCAATGCGGTTCCGACAGAAATATCTTTACCATCCGAACACATTATGAGGAGGGAAAGAGAGGGATCGCCAGTTAAATGGCGGGACACAAAGCTTTCAGCACCTGCTAGAACCTTTCTAAGCTGCCGACTTCCCAACTTCCCTGAGGGACAGCCCAGATTCAGCCATTTTGTTGATTGTGGTGATCCCGACTGACTGGAATCGACCCTTCCAGCACAATCAATGACCAGATCAAAAGATGACGCATCATCATCACCGACACCACTGCGTTTGCCTATATATACGTTCCTGGTGGGCTTTATCAGATACCGCCCATTAGTTGATGGCAGCTTACATTCCTTTTCAACGAGCTCTTGAATAAGGCCAGGAAGCTCCGATTCTCCAGCTGCCATGAGTTGGTCTTTATGTTTCCAAAATACGGGAGGTGTGAGGCCGTGGGACCATCCCTCACTGTCATCACCTGCACCCTGGATATATCCGCCCTCTGACATCTCGGCACCACGAACGCATCTTGACGCTGAGCAGAGCACGAGTAAATGTGAATCGACATGCTCGTCATTGTCTGAGAAAAAGTCCCTGCTAGCCCAGACCAGGCGGATAGGTTTTCCCAGCCTTTCTTTTAGTTTTCCCATATCCAAGTTTAACGTCTAGTAGCCCAAGTTAAATTGTATGAAATATGAAATTGTGTTATCAAGGGCTTGTACTTACTCTAAATGATTCTATGAAACCGTCTATTTTGTTTTCAATTTGTGACTCTTCTGATTCTCCAAGGTATGCCGGTGCAAACTGAACTGCATGATAGGCAGGCTTGTCAGGAAACAGGGTTCTATTCATGACCGCACACCAAATTGGTATTGTCTTCCCCATGGCATCCGGCATAGCTGAGTTGTATATAGTTTAGCATAATTCATAATGTACTATTTTTGATTTTTTGGAGAATTGCCATACTTTTACCCCTTCTCGTTGAATCAACTATCACACAACTAGAAGCCGGAGGTTAGTTAGGCTCAAAAGGACCCATCTTAGATAAACCCAACTCACCCTCCATATTTCTTCAAAATATCCAAAACCTGCAAGTTCAGCCGTCTCAGGCTAAAGTCCCACTGTCCCATGTGGCCATCTGTGCTTTTGAAATAGGAGCTGCCGACCTTCTTGTCTGGCGGGATATACCAGCTCCCACATCTCTCATTGGCAACGAGGGGTAAACCATAGTAGTCTGATATCTCTTGGACAAAGATAGAGTCTGTCTCCATAGACCTTAGTCTATTTGTGATTGACAGAGCCGATCTCCGGAGGTCCGAGAGCAGATGGGATATATTCTGGGATGCAGCTGGGAATTGGATATCTGCTAGGGATATTGGTTCCCGCATGGCGGGCACTAATTATCCAAAATAACCAATAAAAATAAGTAAAAATATTATGTATATACCGGGGCCATGCGCCCGTCTATCCAAAAAAGAACTCGTCAAACGATCATGATGTATATAATAATAATAATAATAATAATAATGAGACGGTGACCTCGTCGTTGACGTTGACTTGTCTTCGTTTCTCCTTGTGGCCAAAAATGGGCGTTGAGATGATCACGTGATATAAAAATTCCGCATGGCGGGCCACGACTCCACCGTTCATCTTTTAGCTGCAGGTGAATGACGTTGACGGGCGATGGAGATGGGGAGGGTTGGTGATTCCGATGCATTGACAGTCTGATGGGCGAGTTGAGCACGGTTGCTTGCCATACACTGCAGATAAGACAGCAACTCGCTGTGCCACAGGCAAAGGGTACCACCCGGAGAGAGAAAGGACTTCTCCTATTCCGATCAATAATATATGGCTATCTGCGCATCAATCGTTGCAAATGGGACTAGCTAGGCTATTATGCAGAATCAGGAACAGGAACAGGCATGAGATCGAGAATATCACGTCTAGCTTTGCCCATGGCCTGGTTTTGCCTAACTAGTGGCCCGACCCTGAACCTGTTCTGAATCCGTGTCCAACCCTCCATGACCAGGCCAAAAAAAAAAAAAAAAGGTCTCTGTCATTAACTGATGGGGAACTCTTGTTGATAAACTACATTATTATATACTACGCTAACAACAGATTCGGAATGCATCTTCCTGCTATTTCTGCAATGGCCGGCGGCTGTTCTGGTCTCGACATAGTTAATGCAGTGACAGAGACGGCCCCCCCAGAGAGTACAGTACCAGTCAAGAAAGAAAGCCGGCCAGGGGCATCTCAGGCCTCACGGCTGAGTCCCGAGACAACCGTGGTACGCAGCTTAGGCTCCCACGGTCTGCTGGTACTGATGCCCGAGGTAGGTGTCCATCGTGTCTTTCCGAGTTGTGGCCGGTGATGGCTCCTTGATATTGGTCTCTGCTGGCATGCCACGGACGACCTTGGAACCCTCGGCGGCCTACATCTTCAAGGCCGTCCTCAACATCCAGGAAGAAGAGCAAGTGACCTCAAGGCTGTCCACCCCTCTGCGCTGCCTCCTTGCTGTCTAACTGACCAGGCCCTGCTGCTGCTGCTGCTGCTGCTGCTGTACTTCCCCTGCCTCTCCCTCTGCTTCATCCCACCTGCCCGCCGGCCCCACCGAGCAGGACAGCCAGAAACGTGCCGTCGACTTCTCCTACTTCTTCCTCTTCCTCTTCTTCTCACTTCTACTTCTCTCTCTCTTTTACAACCACCAGCAACATCAGCCATCAACCATTAGCCATCAGCCAGCATCAGTCTACGTTCCTCCACCTACCATCTAGAGTCTACTTCCCCCGCGTTAACCGCCATCATGCCCAAGGTAGGCGATTCATCTGCTCTATAGAGGAACAAACAGAGAATATTAGAAGGCTAACCTGATATGCAGATCACCCACATCCTCTTTGACTGTGACAACACCCTCGTCCTGTCCGAGGAGCTTGCCTTCGAGGCCTGTGCCGACATTGCCAACGAGATCCTAGAGAAACATGGCATTGAGAAACGCTACACCGGCGAGCAGCTCATCGGCGAGTTCGTCGGCCAAAACTTCCGCGGCATGATGGTCTCCATCCAGACCAAGTTCAACATCTCTCTTACCCCCGAGGAGCTCGAGTCCTACGTCAAGGAGGAGGAGAACCGCGTCATTGCTAAGCTCGAGGCTAAGGCTCAGCCCTGCGTTGGCGTCACCGAGGTCCTTGTCAAGATGTTCGCCGAGAAGAAGTATGGCATGGCCGTCGTCTCTTCTTCTGCCCTTCGACGCGTCAGGGCCTCTATCAAGAAGGTCGACCAGTCCCAGTTCTTCCCCGAAGACCACATCTTCTCCGCTGCCACTTCTCTCGAGAAGCCTACTACCAAGCCCGATCCAGCCATTTACCTCCACTCGCTCAAGGTCATCGGAAAGAGCGCTACTGAGTGTGTCGCCGTTGAGGACAGCAAGAGTGGTTGCCTCAGTGCTGTTCGAGCCGGCATCCCTGTCGTCGCATACGTTGGCAGCTACCCCACCACCGAGAAGCAGGAGGAGATGGCCAAGCTCCTGCTCGAGCAGGGAGCAAAGGTCGTCATGAGAAACTGGTCTGAATGGGATAAGTGCATCGCGGAGATCGAGAAGATGGACATCCCCTCCCTCTAGTCTTGTACAGCTCTACACTCTTGCCATCTCTCCAAGAGCCTGTCTTCTCCTCTCCAAGACGAATTGACGAACAACTAATTGACCCCTCATGTCCCACCTGTTTCTCATGATTCTCGGATGTTTTCTTTTTCCTCGCTTTTCTTGTTCCAATATTGCTCCGTACTCGAAAGATGGGGCGTTATTAAAGATGCAAACTCGCATAACTATGTATGTCCGGCAGATCAGAAATCCCACCATGGCCAGATAGACCCCAGATAAGAACAAAATCCAAAGACATTTCCCGTTCAAAGCAGCTCCAAATAAGTCCTCTCTCTGTCCCTTGTCCACGGCTCCTCCCGAAGCCATCCCACGTCACATGATAGAACCTTGGAAGCAGCAAGCAGTCGTTAGTTGGTTAACTGGCTAGCAGTAACTAAAACATAACCAACTAACCAACGTCCAAAACTGCGGCCCAACTCGTTCCCTGCCCGGCTCTTAACAGGCAAACCCGCCACTCTCACAGAAACAATTAAATACAACCAATTGAGCCATGTCAGGCCAATCGACGGCTTTCAAGAGGCCTGCACTGCTCTCCACTGGGCCCTTGGTAAGTAACTAGCCAATATAACCACTCAAGTAGCGGCCAACAATGGCTCTCTTTATGGCACAGAGCTACCAGCCTAAGCCGATTCTCATTACCGCCCAAACAAACTAACTATATAATTCCTCCAATACGATGATATCACTTTAATCTCTACGTAATGATTGCTGCTCTTGACAACTAACAAACATACTTGCTGTAGGATCCGTCCGAGGCACGCTGGATCAGACTCGTGAAGCGGACGTACACCGATCCAAACGGGATAACCAGAACATGGGAAGCCGCTGAAAGACTAGTGAGTATAATGCGTATTCTGTATTATTTTCTACCGATTTTTTTTATTTATCTTTCTACATTATTCTCCGGTACAGAGCGAAAAGGATATGTATGTCTATGGTGGCTACACAAGTGAGCATGGCGTCGATGTTGCCCGCCGCTGGTACAACTGCTATGTAGCTACATGTCCATTTTCGGCTGCTGACAGGCATGCATGCTTGCTTGGTTTCCGCTTGATCCGCGCCATCACATCTATTACATGCATATGCCGGGCAAACTCCCATCTCGTGCATGTGTAACTCGTTACCAGGATGGGGTTTGCTTAGGCCTTCGTTTTGTTTCTTATTTGCTGTCTCTCTCACACACACACACACACTCTCTCTCTCTTATCCCCCTTGCCTTGCTCGTCGCATGCATTCCATGAAATAACGCATGTAGCTTCAAGGTATGCTAACAGCACGACGTCTAGACTCGTGCAGATTCCGCGATAGACGGCGTGGGCATAGTTGCCATTCTCTCCAAACCATCTGGTCCTGAGCTGTTGCTGCAGAAACAGTACCGGCCTCCGATTGATATGGTCACCATTGAGATTCCGGCTGGTTTGGTTGATGCAGGTGAGACAGCGGAGGAGTGTGCTGTCCGTGAGCTGAAGGAGGAGACCGGATATGTTGGTGTTGTCCAGCAGAAAGGGCCTATCTTATACAATGGTACGTAAAAGCATTTCTATCCGTGTTGATTTTAACTCTTCGTTGGGCGGATTCCTCGGACTCCGGGCAAGCTGTAAAGGCAACAAAAGACGTTGGAAGGAAGATATAATAAAAGTGTATTACTCCCGGATGCTACGGGAGCTATTTCCAATTGCCGCATCGTAATCAGTGGAATGCAAAGGACGGACACCACCTGAGCCTTCACAGGCCCTTCTTTGGTGGAAATATCGAGAATCGCCCGCTAACAGAAAAGAGCAACTCAGATCCCGGATTCTGCAACACAAATATGAACATGGTTCACGTACATGTTGACATGTCATTGCCCGAAAACCAGAATCCAAAGCCTAAGCTTGAGGATGACGAGTTTATCGAGAGTTTCAGTATTCCTCTTGCCAAACTGTTCGAGGAAACAAGACGGCTGGAGCGAGAGGAAGGATATGCCATTGATGCGCATGTAGGAACCTTAGCCGAGGGAATAGAGATGGCGCGGCAATGGGGGATTGTCGGATAGATGTCGGCAGTTACGGTTATGATGGCATATCCATTAGATAGAGGAGTTAGATAGAAGTAGATTCTAGAAATAGCTAATAGATAAGCCACTTTCTCGTTTCCTCTCTCTGTTTTTTGGGGTATATTTATGTTTGTAGTGGCAGAGGCGAGCCGGGTCCAAACGGTAAACCTAGAAGTCAAAAAAGCTGAAACCGAAGTTGAGACCACCTATAAGGCAAAGATGACAGCATATATCACTCTTGCAGGCCATGCTAATGGCGTCACCGGGTATACAAAGATAGGTATTGAGGTGGTTTTGTTTATTTATTTTATGTTTTTTCACAGTCGACCATCTTGTTTTAGTCCCTGGTATAACGCCCAGGCTGACAAGGCCTTCGCATCTCTAGCAGCCTCCTGCCACAGTCTAGACAGAGGCACCAGCTTAAGCGTAATCATCTCGCCTTCTTTCCGAAGGCCAGTAAGCTTCCCTTGCATCTGTTGTATGTCATTTCTGGGCAGGCGTTTCTCACACAGGAAGAGAGGAATGAATTCGTCACATCCTCCTGGAGACGGGTAGACAGCATTCTGTAAAGTTTCTTCCTGATCCGTCTCCTTGTCCTTGTTGAGCAGAGTAAGTGAGCTCATGTCGACGAGTTCGTCTTGCTTGATGGTAAGCCCCGTCTCCTCATGGATTTCTTTTGCTGCTGCTCCAGCGAAGGATCCGTGTTCGTCGATCATGCCGGCCGGTAGCTCCGTGAAGGTAAGCGATCCTGCCGGTATACGTGGCTGGACGGTAAGAACGACGTGTTTCTCATCGCTAGAAGAGGCTGGGAGATCATCTGGCTGGAGGATGAGCTATATGTTCGCAGTCAGCACAGCGGTTCAAATAGAAAAGTAGACAAGTAGTTAGACGCTCACCAGCATGCCGACGCTGCCACCTCTGAGAAAGACGCTCCCCGGCAGCCTGTCCCCATCGTCCGTAGAGACATCTGCCTTGATCTTGATGAATCCCAGCTTCTTTGCGCCAAAGTAGTCGACGGCCTGGACGGTGATGCCTCGGAGTGCGTATGGCTTGACGTGAAACTCGTGAGAAGCGTTGCTTTGCCGCGACAGCGAATGACGTAGAGTCGACAGCCAGATCTTAAACGCCGGGAACGACAGTAACTGCGCCTGGGAGATGTCTGGCGTCAACTGAACGGCCACCGGGGGCTCAGAGCCGGGCAGCGTGAAGCTCGATGGTGCTGTCGACGTCGCCATGGTGCTGCGGCTGGCTTTCAGTGAGAACCGGCGAAGCTGCTGCTGCAGACGCCTGCTCAGCATGAGATCTGATAACAGCCAGCTAGTCAACCAACGAACAGCCAAGTAGCTAACTAGTTAATGAACTGGTTAAACAGGCCATCCGAGGCTCTCTGGCAGCAAATAGGGTCTTCGCGGCAAGTCGTATTTGATAACTAACTAGTTAAGTGGTTAAAAGATGGGTTGCTGATTCTTGATTTTGAGAGATCTAGATCCTCTCCGTCAACAACATCTCCTGCAGCTTTTTACATTAACTACATTCTACACTGGCGGCCTTCGTTTCTTTTTCGTGACAGGTTTTATGCCCTTCAGGTTGACTCGCTAGCTATGTAGCTACTTCGTTGACTTCTCCATGGGGCCCCCGTTGGCTGTTGTGTAATAATACCCCGTGCTATGTAGCTACGGAATTAACGACACCCCGGGCAGGCGTGGAGAATGAGATGCGAGAGCGGGCTCTTCCTTGCTGGAGAAAACGCTGTCTGTTCGCATCTGGTCGGCTTCATGATATCATGTGGCAAAGGGACGAGCCGAGTCGAAGGGCATGCTGTATCTTGTTCGAGCTGGCAGCCTCAGCGGCTGAAAACCTGGTTGATGCTGTCATCTCGTTCTCGGCCTCGATTCGATCAGATTCCAGTTTTGCTTGCCCTGACAGGCGCAACTCAGTTGCTCGGTAACTAACTGTCTTTGGAGTTCGTTTTTTTTTTTTGTGATGTATGTATGTATGGATGCAGGTTGTTGTGTGTGTGATGCATAATTTTGATGGCCAGAGACGGTAGATCCCAGCCACCAGGTCTCGGTCTCCCTTGTTCCATGAGCAAATCGGATCCTCCTGTACAGCCGATGCAACACTCTTGTCTCGTCCATCTGGACCAACTGGGATTCAGATTCGGGGTTGGTCATCCTCTGGCAGGGCCAGAAGCAGCAGCAGAAAGACAGGAGGATGGAACGAAGAAGCGAGAGGGAGATGTTGGTTCCAACCAGCCAGCAGCCTCTCTGATCTTCAAGGTCATGGATCAGTATCTCGTTGCTTCTTCGCTTCTCATCCCTCTAACTGGTGCTGCTGCTTGTGCCTCTTTCTTCGCCGTCCTGCGCCATCCCCCGCCCCTTGCCTGCGTTAGCCAGAGACTGTTGGAGAGTTGGCTGGCTCCTAGGAGGTGGTGTCTCGTCCTCTCGTTCACCGTTTAGCTTGCTCGCCTCCTGGATCAGCTTTCGGGGCCATCTTCGTCCGCCATCTGGGTCCGGCAAGTTCTTTTTCTTTTCTTGCTTTCTCGCCCTGAGGTAACTTATCCTGATGTCAGAGGGCTTGTCTGGAGTCTCTCGTCTCTGGCTCTGTTCATCTGCTTGCGTCCTCGTTTGCGTCTTCCGTCATGTGAGGAGGCCTTTGCCTTCAATCATCTTCGCCTGAGCATCGTTTTTATAAAGGCCGCCGTCTCTCTTCGGCGTCTTCTTCTCTCTTTTCTCTTCTTCCTTTTTGCTTCCTCCTCTTCTCCCTTCTTCCCCCCCTGGCTGGTAGTTAACTAGCTTAAGCGGTTGATCTTCGTATCGTGTGGTTTGTGGCCGAAAGAACAGCCAGATATCAGCTAAACCGCCGTCGGGACCTGATACCACAGCCTATATATCCTGTCCCTATCCGTACTGTGTATCTCCCTCGCCGCGCTGAATAGACTGCTATTCTCTCTAGAATAGCTACCATTTTATTCTTTCCATTCTCATCTTCTCTCTCTGCGTCCGTCTGTCCGTCTTCTCGATGTGTCTGATGGTGGTGACACCCATGGTCGTCACCACAGCAGGAGTATAACTAGCTAATATCAAACGTCAGCGTCAGCGTCAACGGCAGCGTCAGGATCGGTTGGTGCTCTCCCTCTCTATATCTCTCTCTTCCTCCGTTTTATCTCTTCGCCCTGCCGGCCTGTTTCACTGTGACTCCCTGATCTGCTGGACTCGGACATGCGCCTTTCTCGTCTTCTGCAAGGGACCTTGGGGGAGGACCTCTGGACCGTATATCCATAAACAAATATAGATATATATACATATACATACCCTCGCTAAGGCCGTGTACTTTTTGAACATCTAGATCTCGCCCTTCCCGAGTGCCGTTGAAGAAGAGAAAAGGAGTGTTTATGTGGATGTTGCTGGATGCTCGATACCCGTCATGTCGTGTCTAGCCGCGCAGCCTGGCCGTCCTGGAACTCGCAAGCGCTCTGCCTGTCTGCCCCAGCGCCTGTCTGATATACCACCTCGAAGGGCCAGCCTGTCGTCTCCGCCTCCGCCTCTGTTACCATCGTATCCCCGTTATCCTGCCGTCGAGGGCCCTCTGTTGGATATCCCGGAAGTAGAGCGCCGTGTCAATTACCACCGTCGCCATCACCCAGCCTCTAGTGGTCAGTCAAATGTCCCTGAATCTTCTCTGTATTCACCTTTGCTATCACCTGCTATCACCATGTCCTCCCTGTTTTCTTGATATAATATAAAAAGGGCGCTAAAAAGGGGGTGGACTGCCTGCCTGTCCTCTTTTAGTTTGTCTGATATCTTTCTTGCTTGGATTCACCAGCTGTCTTGTCTCTCCTGTCCTGCTTCTGGCCAGGACATATCAATATCACACTCACACACACACACACACACACACACACACACACACACACACACACACATTCTCTCTCTGCCCCTTTTATTTCTTTCACCCCCTTCACTACACTTCTACCCACAATCGTGTCTACCCTATCTTGGTCCGGACTGTTCTCTCTTGCTTGTCTCTGCACGCGCATCTCTGCCTTCTCCCCAGTCCGGAACCGCAAAGAGCAAAGATGCCTCCTCCTCCTCCCCCCCCTGCCCGTCTCCGTCCGCCTCTTCGCAGACGCTCTGAAGAGCCAATGCTAAACTGGCCCTTTCCAGAAAACGCCCCCGTGAGTCCGCAGGCCCTGGACCAGGCCGACCGCCTGCAGTGGCTCACCTCGAGCAACAGAGGCTCGGCTGGCTACTCAGACGGCAGCGGCATGCCGCCCAACTACGGCCAGCCTGGCTACGGGTCAGGCACCACCAGGTCCAGACACCAGTCCATGGAAGCGTATCCTGGCAGCTTCCAGCACGGCCTGTCTTCTCCTCAGAGTAGACAGCGAGCAAACCCCCAGGTGACGAGTAAGACGCCCTGAAAAGCAAATTTAAAAAAATCAAGCGAGATAGTCAAGCTGACATATTGATACCTATGCATTAGCCGGCTACCTGGTGCCGTATGCAAGACGGCAGAACGATGGTGCTGGCAGCAACAGCAGCAGTGCCAATACCAATGCTAATAATACCACTGCTAATACCAACGCCATCAACACCGTCCACAGCGGCGGTTTCAACTATGAGAGCCTGGCCAGACTGCAGGGATCCAGTTCGTCTGACTTGGCCAGTCTCGCAGAGCCCGTTCCTGGCTTCTACTCGCCATCCGTACCTGATGTGAATGATACCAACCAGAACTTCAACCACTTCATGGCTGGATATCAGGATGCTATCGCCAGTACCCAAGCAGGGCGGTCTGACTACGACCATGATATCCTACTGGGACAGCAGCTCGCGCAGAGACAGGCAAGCCAGGAGCCAGGAGCGTCACCTGCATTCTCCGCTGCATCGCCTACAACGCCCCAGCAAGCTCACCAGGATACCAGACCCGCCCTTCCATTGGGGTCAGCGGGCACCCGATTATCTGCTGGTGACATACGTGAGATTATGGGGTCGGCCATGGACTTTAGCTCCTCTCCAGACCCGCGCCAGGAATCAGAAATGCAAGATCAAGACCAGGATCAGGATCAAGATCAGGATCAGGATCCGGACCAGAACCAAGGCCAGAGTCAGGGTCAGAACCAGAACCAGGGCCAGGACTCTGAGACGTTCGGCTACTCGATGAACCCTTCTTCATCAGGGATGCCAACAACTCCGGCCCAGCGTCGCCGTAGTGCCCAAGACATGGCCTCTTCCGAGCATGAGTCTGCTCCTCACCAGGGACAGGTAGGCAGCGATGGCCTGACTCAACGCCGAGTCCGTATGAGAACTCTGCGTGTATCTCCTGCATCGTCTACCCAGCAGCCATCTACAGCTAGTGGTTCTCAACCACAGCTTAATCCAGCAGCGTCATCTGCTGCTGCCAACACCGCTACTTCCAGTCTCCAGCAGTCTCAGGAGCCTGTTTTTCCCAGCTACAGACCTCGTTACACCAGCGACAACATCCTCAACCCGCAGTACCTTTCCAACTACCTGGCCGCTATGGACAGAGGGCTTGCGAGAACCATGAGCACAGATCAACGTCTCCAAATGCTCCGCCAGTACCAACGCCGGGGGCAACCTGGACAAACATCTACCAACGTCCGCCTGCCAGCACCAATGATAGGGCTGGATGTCGAGATCGATGGCCGCCCGGAGCCCAAGGATTCAGCTAACCTGACGGTCAATATGGAATGCAAGGTGTGCATGACCCAGCTCGTTGACACCGCACTTATCCCCTGCGGTCACGCTGTTCTCTGCAGATGGTGTGCAGAGCAGCATATCCTTGCGAAGCCGGGGCAAATTGGCCGTCCAGCGCCGCCGCCAGCTTGTCCCGTGTGTCGAACGACAATTAAACAGAGAGTAAGCCTCCGCCCTTTCCCATGTTTTCTATGCAAGATGTAACCAATGGCTGACTTTTCCCATCTGCAGCTTCGGATATTCATCTCCTAGCCGCAGACGTAGTTAAAATTAATTAACCGAACGGTCTTTGCCTGTCTGCCTTTTTTTCGCCCTTCTGACGTCAACTCAACCTATTCTCTCTCTCTCTCTCTCTCTCTCTCTCTCCGAGTATCATCGCATCACTTTAGGCATGATCGTTCTTCTCGCTCGCATGACAACCTTGCATATCACTTTTTCAATCACGCATTCCGGGCCGTTCCATCGCATCTAAACGAATACACGACTTTGCAACCAAACGGAGTTTACTTTGGCTGGAATCTAGCTTCTCTCTTTCCGCGTTGGACCTTTGAACTCGTTAACTACATACACTATGCCCCTTTCCCCCCTACTCCCTGCCTTTTTTCCCCGCCCTAGAGCACTTGTATGTACCTTGCATCTTGACCCCCTTTCTCAAAGACCTGTCTGTACCTGTTCTCTGTTTCAGTTGCTGTGCACCCGCCAACTTCGATCGGCATGATTCATCTAGTTTATTCCAGTTGTCTAGCTAAGCATGTAGCTCCCCGAGGTAGCCTGGCTTAATGTCACGATAACTAGTTAACTAATGGACGGCTTCTCTCTTCTCTCCCCCTCAGCCTCGGTTCCGGCTCCGGTCCCGACAGTCAAGCTATCTAATGCCATAGATATACCCTGTATGTAACTGTCGTAGAAGAGCAATCAACAATCCCCTCTTTCCCGCTGCTCTTTTCTATATATGCCTAGTCTGTCCTCTCTGCCTTTGTGTAAGCTGCACCCGCTTCGTATCACCTGCCATGGCCTGATCACCTTGGTAGACAAGAGAGAACCACCTAGTTACCGTAGAGACCACCATCTGCCAGCCGCTGTATTGCATGACCTTTGCCGGTCAGCCAATATGGCCTATAGAGGAATGTCTATGAGAGTGGCTTGTCTGCTGTCCAAAGTGAGCCTCTGCTTGGACATGCCCCTTCCGGGCAATTATGCGGGCGCCCACAGCTTCAAGGCAGCCAAAACATGACCTTGTGAGATGGGATAGGATCCTTTGTGATTTTCAAAGCAGTACTCCGTACGGAGTAGACGTTAACGAGTTATGACAAGGCTATATGCCTGCGAACCAGTCTATTAATAACCGAGTAGAGAGGGAGTTACTACGAGAATACCATACCATTTGAGACAGAATCGCCCTTGAAACAGGCACATTCAGGAGACATTAGTGACCACAGACAACCCCGTATCTTGGTCCTATGAAATAGTTAATGCCGTGTCACTTTGCTTCTTTTGCACTGCCCCTATGCAGGCCAGGGATGTCCGGGAACCAGGCGGAAGCGCGGCTGCAGGCCATCAAGTAGAGTAGCATGCATGCGGTAACCGTAACTCACACTAATAGTTATGTGATTCCGCCTAACTGTGTATACTCCGCATAGCAGGTTGTTTTGTAAGGGCGCTTCTGTAGTTATGCTGTAGACCGAAGACTGGCAGGGAGATAGATATCAACGACTGCCCCGGCTGCCCACCAGGGGCTCTCACTGGAGACACCAGCGCACACGACAAACAAACCAGGGCGCCGTCTAGACTGTTGATAACGACAGTCAGCCCCTAGAATATTGAGTTAGCGATCTGTTGGTGTAATTTGCTTTTTCTGGCTCGCAGGCAGCAAGCATAAGTCCTGCAGCCGCTGAGAGATATGAGCCCATCCACTTGGTTATTTATTACCGATACCCATCGCCAGCATGATGGATGGCAGGCCTTCAAGACCTAACCCGAGCCCTATCTCTCCTTTCTGGCTTCTGCTGCTGCCGCTGAGCTCTGGTTAGTTCGGTCGAGAGCCCTGTCTGTCTGTCTCTCTGTCTGTCTGTCCTGGCATGCTCTGTCCGCAGCTTCGCCTATCATGGTACGCGTAGATCTCGACCACCGGCAGCGTCATCAAAACCACCACCACCACCACCACCCGGACCAAAATAAGCCTGCAGCCGCCCAGTCGCCGCGCGGGACGTCATGGTCAAGCTTCGACAAAGTTGAACAGTAAGCGTCTGT